TATTTGATATGGCCAGTATACAGTCCTGATCTTAATCCAATTGAGCATCTCTGATCCAACTTTACACACGCATTCTCCGCTTGACTACAGACACAAACCGACAAAGCGTTCGTTTTGAAACTCTAATAAACAGACATGACCCTAATGTCGTGAGTAGAAAAACAATACGTTCAGAAAAGGTCATGCTAAAATAGAGTTTCGGTTGACTACTGCTACCAGCGTTGTCGCATTGTACTGCGTGTTGTTTCAAATTTTGTGAAGAAAATTTCGTCTCATTCTCATTTACGAATTTATAGATATATTTTAGAAACGGACATGACACGGTACTGACAGTTAGCTGATATATTGCAGTTTATCTCTGAATGACTAATTATATTATATAAAATATATGATGAAATATGTCCATGACCAACTTATTCATAAAAAAATTTCATGATTATATTATTAATTAATCACCAGTGAGAAAAAATAATACAGGACAAAAAATTACAATTAAAACAGAATCCCCATATATCCTTATAAAATTGCATACAAAAGTCTGCTTGGCAGTTTTAACTTGAAATCTCGTATTAAAAGAAACCATAAATAAATAAATCGGTTACTTGATTATCAGGCCCTACGGTGAGATGTGAAAACACTTCTATAGAAAAAAACTGAAAACAATGGAAAAGTGGTGTGGTTAAAAGTTGTGAAAATTGGTTTTCTGACTATTTATTTATTTTTTCGATGCGGATTGACTTGCCCAAGCGACCTTGACCTAGTTCGCCCTCATCGCGTACAGGTACTGCGGGCGAATGACCTTGACCTAATTTTTACGATGCCGAGGTAAAAAAAAATCTGAGGGGTCGCGAAAGGTTTGGGCTGGAAATTAGAGGTTCATGGCCACAATTCTTGAGAAATAATAATAGAACTCGTCTAAAAAAAAAGTGTTTGCCCACTCTCGTCGCCGACAGAGTCGTTTGTTTTATTTAATTCGATTTTGTCGTATTTATAGACTGAAACCACCTTATACGTTGTCGTTGTGTCCCGTCGTGTTTAATTCGCAAATTGTATTAGCGAGTAGTTTCGTCGGTAGTGCTAAACGCCAGATCAAACATTGACGTTGATAGTTATTATTGATAATGGTCGCAGGTTTACTAAGAAAATTAAAATTAGGGAGAAGTCAGTTATGTAAGAGAAATAATAATAAAAGTGTTTATTGAATTAAGTAAATAGCTATTTTGTAAAAAATTTAGACAAACAAGAGTAGTTCAGTTCAACTCTGACGTTTCTTACAGTTCTGGATTCCTCTTGCTTCGGTTGTTGACAAGTCGAACTTACTGACAGTTTACGAAACATTTAATTGGCTTCTTCGGAGCCTAAATGAACTGTCAATAACCAACGCAGGAGAAATGCAAATGTGTGAATAGTGTTGCAGTGGCCTGATGAGATTTCATTGAAATGTGCGTCTTAACGCATTAACAGAATTTCCTAACAAATAGAAAAAATAATAGAAAATCGACCACATTTGATACAAGAGATTGTACTTCATATTATATTCATTTCATATTAAACACTAACAATTTAAATAAGAGGATTATAGTTTTTATAACAGAAATTTGTACAGTTGCCTTTTGAAAGCATATTTAGTCTTTAATATAATAATTAAATACTTTTCTGACGCAATAAGAATAGGAGCGCTTGAAAATTTCCATTGAGTAAGTTGTAGGGGTAAAGGTGTCTTTAAATTTTATATTAATTTTATATACGACAGTCCGAAAGCTAGATGCAGATTGTAAAAAATGCCTATTTTGCATATTTAACTATTTCGTAGCTTTTGTATTCTGTACTTATCATGGGTTGTTAAACAGAGACCAAAGACATCATCAAAATATGTCAAGAGTTGGTTCATTGACAATTCCAAAGCCTTTCCACGTGTCAGTTTCACCAAATACTTTATCAATAAGAAGAATTTCCGATATCGCATGTATTAAAGTCTTTTCGTATTTATAATGCGATTCTGACACCCCGTATTTTAAGTTCTATCCACAGGTGTTCTATTCCTCAACATTAATAGCAGATTAGTTTAAGACAAATCTCAACACGATCGTGACTAGCAAAAGAGTAGCCATCAATTTTAAGATCATTTCTTGAAATATTGACATTCAATCATTTAACACATAGGCTAAGCGTTAACTTAAAACTTATTAAAATAATAAAACAACAAATCACTCATCACAAAAACTTGCAAAATTATCAAGAAAGTTTAACTGACATACTATTGAGGAGGGTTTAAAGAAATATGTTTAAAATGGCACATCAATAGTTTTTATTCAATCAAAACTAACTTTTGACAGATTCAATTTCATCGGAAATCTCCCCACCAAGATTTATAAGGTATTACAAGTGGAAAACTGCATCGTAATATTGACTAAATTTAATGAAATAATAAAAATTGTAGCCAATATTTTAAAAATAAAAAAACTGCCGCAACCGAATTTTTAAATGCCAATCTTTTTCCATTCTTCTTGGGCTATTACCAGGAATTTGGGGAACCCTGTATAAATGATTACATAGAGGCAGTGTTTATGCTGATAATACAGCGACGATTTGGGAAAATGTCGTTACCATTCATTTGCGCACGCGCTGTCATTAGAAATCTCGTTTTAAAGCAATAAACCTGTCATTTGAAACCAACCAATAAGACCTAGCGGCGCAACCAATATGGCCGCTGACAGTTCGTCAATTCGACCAGGTTCAGGATTAAATGTAGCATTTTTACGGCAGCATCTTCTCGAACTTTGCTCAAATCTCGTTAAATGTAAAATTTAAAAACGATTAAAATCATTCCCTTCTCTGAGGCGTGTCATATTTAAATATTTAAAATACTTAGTTTTATGACCTTTATGTTTAATAACTTCATTGCATATTCTGGTGATAGAGTTTATAAGGACAAAGTTCTACTGGTATTGCTTCCCAATCTGCTTGCTTATTTTTTGTTTTATGCTTGCCAACTGCATTGTTACATTGGGCAACGAAAGTAAATCCACACCATTGTTACAAAAAAAATTCTTGATCCTTCCATATTAAAGGAATGTGATCCTCTGTAAATGTTAACAAGACGTCCTGAAGAATATGGACATACTCGTTTTGACCTATCTATCCAGTAAATCGGTGCTACACCATACCAGGAAATAGCTCCCCACAACTTTAGTTAACCCCTCCATGTTTAACAGCTTTGATTAGTGGTGGGTTCTGGTCTGTGTTCTAACATCGGCTAATATCAGAATCTGTTATCTCTTTCCTCTTAATTCCCGTGTCACCATTTCATGTTTGATCTTAATTTATTTTTACCAAAAAGGTATAATAAATACAGAAACTCTCTAAAATATTTTCAGTAAAGTATGTATATCGGATGTCCTAGTAAAGGTAAACGACCATGGTTAAAGCGAGTACCAAGCCGAGACAAATTTAAATGATGTTTTGTTTTATGTTCTTTGCTCAACCTCTGCAAGGAAAGGGGTGCGAGGGGGTTGAGGGGGATATTTTCTTAATTAAATGTCCATGTCTCCAAAAAAACTAAATGCATTTTATTAAACTTGGTCTCGTGAAAAAGGACTTTTCCTAAGCTATCATTCTTGCCACGCGATTGTGATTGTCCTCCTTGCCACCAGGTGGCATTTTCTGAAAATCGAAAAAAATTAATTTTCCGAAAAAGAATAAATGCAATGATATGACTTTTTGACGTCATTAAATACTCAAGTAAGGGCCCAATAATCCAGTGAAACCCGCTTCTAAATATATTTATTCTAATATAAAATATAAGTAAAAGAAGTTAGCGCTCAGAAAAAAGTTGGATTTTAGCGAAAATTTCCACTTTGCAGGTTGTTATTAATGTTTAAATATCCCGATTTTTTTTTACAAACTTTCAAAGAACACCAAATTGGACTATATCTGACATTACACTCTTTGACATGCTTATCCGTTTTCAATTTTTTTACTATTACTACGCATTTTTTTAAATAAAAATTAGTTTTAATTAGTAACTTGACCACTTCTCTATTGTTAGCAACTAACTAATTTTATTAATTATTAACGTATTGGTGTTAAAATGTAGAAAACCAGATAAAAAATCATAAAAATCTCTTGTGACTAAATTCATTTCTAATTATTAACATTGCGAAGAAAACAAATTTGGTTTTTATCTTTCATGTCGTTATCTGACGCTGGCCGAAGTCTCTTGATTATCTACGGTTTTAATTACTTTGTTAAATGTTTATTGCATTAAAAATGTCTTATTTGAACTCATCATAATCCAGTGCCTAAAAGTAATCGACGCTTTAAGAGCGTTTCTTTCATTACTTTTTACATTTTACTATATAAATAATTTAATAATCAATCTAATTAATTTTGTTGCAAATCAAAAAAAGTAAACGATATCGCATTCTCAATAATTCTAAATAATTAGATATTAATTACGCTCAAAATTCAACGTTTTCTAGCGTTAGGTTCTTTTAATCACATTTTAGTTAGGTGGGGATAAATATGTTTTTTTTTGCGATTTTGTCGGAAAACGACACTACTCCAGGTTTATTAAAATGCGTTGTCTTTCTGGAAATATTGACGTGTTTTAAGAAATTATTAGGAACAAGTCACTTTCCTTGCAGAGACGGGGAAAACAGCTTTAAGCAAAAATCATTCGAATTTATCTCAGCTTCACAATAGTACTCACTTTAGCCATGGTTAATATTATGAATTTTTGTAGAAACCTAGTTTAAGAGTCAAGATAAGAATTACGTCCTCTGGTAGCCTTATTAGAAACTCGGACACAATTTCCAGAATTTTCTCTTGACTTATTTACCTAATCACTTTATTTTTTTTAAATTTCTAGTTTTAATCCCTAATATCGTAGCTCGTTGTCCTTATTGGGACGCCCGGTATATATGGTTCTATGAGTTGACACATTTATAGAAAGCAACCCCCCACCACCCCGCATTAAATTATCAATTTGGGACCGCCAGGTGCTCTTCCGCGAGCGTGGTCGACCCCGTCTTTGGGGCCGAACGTGCGGTCGAGCTTGAAGCCGCCCCTGCTTCAGCAGGCGGCCTTCGACGACCTCGTATTTCGGGTGGACGTTATGAGAAACGTGGCATCGAAGCACACGGGGCTCCCCTGCGGCGACGTGGCAACCGTAAACCCACCTTTAAAGCACGCGTGGTCCAGCCTGCCCGCATTGAATCTGCCAGACACCCAAGCGCTGAGGGAGGACGAAATAGAACGAAAGGACAAGAAAAGGAACGGGACAAAGGAGAAAGAAGAACAGGAGGAGGATCAGAACGGGGACGAAGGCCTGCAGGAGGTAAGAATTGCGTAAAAACGCGCCAAATATTCGCCTTTCCGTTTGTTTGCCTCGTCGATTTGATAAAATAAACTTGGCCTAAAATTAGGAAATGGCCGCCAAGTGGCGATTAACATAACTAGTTTGTTTTAATATAAGACGTGTGAAAGGTTTCCCGCAATGTTTCATTTTCCGTTTAAGGGTGAGTATGTAGGCTTTTGACCAGAAGCTTTGTTATTTCCGCTATGCGTTGTATCTCGGTGCAGTGTGTTCAAGTCGGGGAAAGTTTCGATGGTTCGGAGATTTGTTTTGTCTGCTGCGGATACCTTGTAGAGTAAGAGGTGGTATTATGATCGCGCGTTGTATTTTTCCACTAACACCACTTTTATTTAACTTTCGTAAGACAATGAGAACGTAACAGATACTAAATGCACAATATATGCAGGCCTCTGGTATGCGGACAGAAAGTACCATGATTAAAAAACCGCCCACTACTTTTTTGTATATTTTGTAACGAAATCTAAAAGGAGAACTTTGAGGATAAGTGGGATAAGTGCAAAAACGGGTTTACGTGCAATACATAACGTCACTTGGTATAACAATAAATCTTTGTTTTATTCTTTAAATTTAAATTAAATTAATCAAATTAAAATTAAATGATAAAACGTTTGTATTACACGACATAAAGTTTAAAAAAACCTACTTTATATTTTTACTTGTAGCGCCCTTTATGAGCATCGTGGAAGTTGATATGTTGGCCAGAAGGATAGCCATACCAGGGTATAGACTGACAATACCTAGATTTTAGCTGAATAAGCATTAGTTTTGTTTAGTTAGAGTAAGTTGGTCCACGGTATTTTATTACCTTAGCAAAGACTTTCATTAACAAAACCATTGTCTGCTGATGGCTCTTCAAATTTCATTTTGTATTTTTCTCTTTGCTCATTCTGATGAATCATTTTCACTCTTCTGTTTCTCCTTTCTGGCTTTGGATCGTCTACCCCGTGTTTCGTTTATCGCGAAACTGAACACTTCAACATAACCTCAAAGAATCGAAAAATAAAGATTAGCAGCAATTACGATCATTTTTTTTCAATTTCCAGTGCGAATCAAAATAGGGATTTTATATATTTATATATAGGATATTCTTTGTTGCTATAAAAGTGATATCGTTGCATTTTTTAAAAGAAAATCCTGTTTATTTTTAGTGTTGCCAAAAAAAACCTGTAACGGAAATACAAGCAACATAAATAGATCCTGTCTTGAAAGCAGCAAAACTAAATTCCTGCATGTACTCCAAGTTTGACAAAATCGATTCAGTAATTTTTCCCTTAAGAGATGAAGCAAAAGCTATTTAACGAAAACGAATCGAATTCATCCCATTTTACCTACTTAGTTGATGGGGAAATTCTAACTGTAATCTCCAAATGACGTCCTGTTATTCTATTTTTTCCAAGAAATAATAACAAATGGCAAAATTATGATAAGAAACTAGCCGTTTCATGTTTCATAAAAAACTCCAATATCACCAATCCAAAAAAATTCTCTCAATGATTTCACAATATGCAGTAATAAAATTCACATCCTCTTGGTTTTTCTATTTAACTTTTGAACACAATATTAACATAATGGTCAAAAATGGAATTACATTTTCAAAGATATTTTTGGCGTCCTCGTCAGCCATTGAATTGTCGAAGCTCATAGAACCTGAAGTATTCAAAATTGGATTTTAAATATAATTTAAAACTAACATAGGTCTTGAACGGTCCAATTCTCCACCTGATCATTTAAAATTGTGTTGTTGGAATCGACAATAGTAATTATAGGTATCTGTCTACGGGAAATTATTTTTTTTTCTAAATTAAAGACCAACAATATGCAAAAGCTGCTAGCAGAATTAATGGAGAGAAAGGTAATTCAATATTTGGCAACAAGGGACGAAAAATGCTATAAAAAATACTATGGTCGGTTCAACTAACAAGTACTAAATACGGAAACTGCAGGATCTGTACCATAAGATAATTTCTCAAACAGTGGGGTTTAAAATTCAAGAACGCGATTACGTCCTCTAGAAATTAAAAAAATTAAAATAATTTCTGGCCTTTTTTCTTCTTCTTCTTGTCTTACAGGGACGCATTGTTTTTCTATCGCGCTCTTACGTACCGTTATGGAAGTTTCTCAAAATTGGAATTGTATTGTAAATTTACCGTGTATAAAGTGCTTTTGCACTAAGCTTTCGATGTGACTTCGAAGTCATTTCAAACTTTGCAAACTTAACAGTAATAACGATTTCCAATGATATTTTTTAAATTTCTGGCGCACCCTGTATGATAGACGAAAACTGCCACTCTCTCTCAATACAGTTCAAGCTACGGTTCAAAAGAAATTATCCCCTCATTTACGGTTTTCCGAGAAAATATTTATTTTCTGAAACTATGCAATACGCCGTAATAGTAAATGACGTCATCGCGTCTAGATTGAGCGTGAGAAGTAGAGATTTTCTCATGATTTTTTTCCAAATATCTCGAGCAGCGTGTCTGATAGACGAAAACCGTAAATACAAAAATTGTAGCTCTCGAAGCGGCCTACTGTTTAAATCAATTAGCCATATTTCTCACTAATTTTGATTTACGGCTGTTGATTTACTCCAGAAAAGAACAATTTTCAGGGTCTTTTGGAATTTTGCCCATAATTGAAAAACCCCATACATAAACATTATCTCTCACGTTTCCTTATTGAAGAATTTTGTCGGTCGGGTTAATAGTTTTGGAGATTTTTTTTGTGAGAGCCAAAATAAACCAAAAATGTTTTTAAAATATTTTTCAAAAATACTTCTAAAGTTTAAATGTAAGTATGGACTTCTACTCCCCTGCCAAATCTGAAGTCTTTAGCTGCCAATTTAAGAAACCGACTAGTATTGGGGCTGGTCAATTGGCCACTTCTTAATTGACTAGTAAAGTTCGATCAAAATGTTTTAAATAACATCTTGCAATTGTAGAGTGTTATCTATTATTACCTAATAATATGTATTTTATAATAGATTATTACGCGATTATAAAAGAATACCCCAATACGATACTTAGCAATTCGAGGATTCCCAATAAAATTAGCGTCTCCATTTCCATTTCCTAATATTTTTAAAATATATATTATTCAATTGACCGATTATTAAAACAAAAAAAAATGACCGGTGAGTTGCACAACGCTAACACCTGCTATATTTTTTAATATAATACAAAATATTCCGTACGCCCTGTACAATATTTGAAAACTAGAAATACAAAAGTTTTAGCAGTCCGTGCCCTCGCATGAGGAAGAGACCGACAACTGACACTAGTTATAGTCAATTTTCTTTAAAAGAAAACCCCACTTTTTAGTTTTCTGCAAATTGCCTTCGCACCCTGTATATTTTCAAAAAATTATCGACAATAAACGTTTTTCGCCCTGATTTCGCGTGCGTTTAAGATTTTTTTCGAATATATTTGCCGTTTTTGAGAAATGATTTTTTTCTTGCACCCTTGCCAATGTTGATTTTAAATTTCTTAAATAAATTTTTTTAAATACAGGGTGCGACAAAAAGATAGGCAGGATTTCAAATAGTGGTTCTTCGGTTTGTAAAACCGGCAACACTGTGTACGCACTCGAGTTAGGCAGACAAAAGTATGCGATTTTCAGTTATCGACATGACTTGGAGCGGAGTGCATCGTGCTTTCGTTGTCGAGGAGTGTATTAGAAATGGGGAATCTGTAATAGCGACGCAGCGCACCTTTCGTAATCAGTTTCATGTTTTTCGGCATGGCGCGGTTCCGGATGGAAGAACAATTCGTTGGTGGGTTTTACACTTCAGGGAAACAGGTTCTGTTCTTAACCGAAAATCTACTGGCCGACCAAGGACAGTAAGAACACCGGAAAATGTGATTGCAGTAAGAGTTTCCTTACAACAGTCTTCAAGGCGTTCAGCTCGTAAGCATGCAACTGCTTTGGGAATTTCCGATATAAGTGTTTGAAGAATTTTACACAACTCACTCCAAATGCATCCGTACAAAATGGTGTTAGTGAAGGAATTAAGCGCAAGACATTTTGAAACCCGTACAAATTTATGCCGGGATATTGTTCAAAACATTCCCAGAGGCGCTGTATTCATGTCTAGCGATGAAGCTCACTTTCAGCTGTCGGGTACCGTAAATAAGCAAAATTTCCGTAATTGGTCAGCAAATAGTCCACAGGAACTTCATGAGCGACCTCTTCACAGTCCAAAAGTCACCGTCTGGTGTGCAATCTCGGAGTTCGGCGTGTGGGGTCCTTACTTTTTCGAAGACGATGGAATAACGGTAACAGTCAACGGAGATCGATATTTTGATATGCTTAAATATTTCCTCCGTCCAAAAGTGAACGAATTGAACAACGATCAAAGAGAACATCTTTGGTTCCAGCAGGATGGTTCTACATCGCACACAACGCGTCGTTCACTAAATCTTCTTCAAGAAATGTTCCTAAACAAAGTGGTGTCTTTACGGGGTGATCTTGGCTGGCCACCACGTTCGCCTGATTTGTCGCCTTGCGACTTTTTTCTTTGGGGTTGCCTGAAAGAGAGAGTTTTCACACATCGTCCGCGGACCTTGGAAGAACTAAAGGCAGCCATAAGACAAGAAATTGCCTCCATTGCCCAAGAAATTATCCATCGGGAAATGATGCGTTTCCGCGAGAACTCACAAGAGTGCATCGACAATAATGGCCGTCATTTAAAAGACATCATCTTTAAAAAATAACGTTCCTAAATGGCATAAAATGTACATTTCAAAAATAATTTTTAAAAAATGTTTGCTTTATGTAGTTTGGTTTTTATTAACATCCCAAATAGTACTTATCATTTTGCCGCACCCTGTATATACAATCAATAGCTTCCGCTAGTTTCAACTCAAATTTAGAACACTTATCGTATTTCATAGTGATGTACAAAAAGCAAAAGAAAATCGCGATGTGTTTCGTGGACTATTTAAAAGGGGCCAAATTTTAGCACCCTAGCTGAAGCTCTTCGGAAATTCGCATTTTTATGAAGGGTCAACGGAGAACGGAAAGGCAAAGATAATTTTTGTACCAATGGTCAACCCGTAGGATCTACCCTTGCCAAGCGCGTTTACAAAGGAGGGATTTTACTTTCGCCGTTGGTGGTGTAATTGTTTTTTTTTTTTGGTCGTAGGTCGCCGGAAAGCTCGAGATCCGCGTAGTGCCAAAACCCGACGCTAATCCAGCCCAGATGCGACCGCAGACGCTAGCGTCGGCGACGTCGCCGCTACAGAACGGCGTCCGCGTCTCCGTCGACGACAAGGGCGACAAAAAACCGACGGAACGCACGAAAAGCATCCTGAAGCAGGGCAGCAAAGAGAGGAACGAGGGCGGCGAGGTCATCGGCAGCCCTAGGAGGGAGAACGTAGTTTTCGCCGATAAGCTCGACGATAGACAAGCGAAGGAGCCGAGTCAGGCCGTGGAAAAACCGGCGGTCACGTCACGGGAAACGGACACCGCGAAGGAGGAGACCGAACGGGAGGTGCAGTGCGATATGCCCGTCACCAACGTTGTTACGGCATCTTCTCCCTCGAAACCGGCACAGCGGAAGGCGGACACGGAGTCCAGCAGTACTGAGAACGAGAGCGGGGGCGGCGGAAGTGTACAAGACAAGAGAAAATTTTGCAGGAAGTACTCCAATGGTAAGTGACTCTTCCCGGTTGACCGTCAACAACTCTGTGAGAATTTAGTAAAGTCTGTCTCAATCTTCATCGTGTTGCCTTTCGACGGCCCCCCTTCCCAATAAAACTTTAACGATGTTGTTATGGTCTGTTCACAGATATACGAAAGTGACCAATCGCTTTTGAACGGATTTTCCAAGGGTGGTCATTAACGTACAATGCAACAAGATTTTTTATTATTAATATGATAATTAATTAATTAATAATTACCATAATTAATAATAATAATCTTGTTGCATTGTATGTTAATGACCACCCTTGGATATTCCGTTCAAAAGCAATTGGTCGGTTTCTTGATATCTATGAAGAGACCGTATTGTTATTGGGTAAAGTCGTTAGCAACAATTTTTACATTTTTTTTTCTTACTTGACTGATATATTTCTTTTTTGCGGCAGTGGTGAATTATCGTTTTTGATGTGCGTTTCGAAATAGTTAATTTACGGGAATATAACAATTTCGTATCGAAATCAGTTGTCGCTTGACGTAAAACAGGTTTTGAAAAATATGTATGAAACTTTTAATCAGTAGAAGATCTATTAAACAGCTTTGAAAGAAACTTGTCTACTTACAAAACGGTAATATGGTCTATAAGGGATATTATTAATAGTGGAGAATTTAAGAGAAGGAATAAACAAAGTCATTGTCAAACTCAAGGTATAGACAATAGTGATCAGGGCCAGATAAGAAGGATATATTATGCAACAAATGCGGTAAACGGAATGTGACTCACAAGTGACTTAAAAAGTTTACCGAACGTGTTCCATACTATAGTTAGTTTTTGGGTACATTTTCGCCAAACAACACGAATACATTCACTGATATGAACGTCAGAGTTGACAAACGTCAAAATTCAAAGCGTGGGAAATATCTCCGAAAACATCCGATTACTCCCAAACCCGTGCGGTATAATCCCGGAAATGTCCGAAGTGGCTCGGATCCGTGGGAAACGAAACGGAAATTTAATAACATTATACCAACCTTAATAAACAAAAATGTTGTTATTATTATCAAAACCCTGGCGAGTCCGCACTAGATGAAGATTGAGACAGATTTGTCATGAGTAGAGACTCAAAGTCGGTTAAATTAGCAAACTAGTTGCATTTTTACCACAGATTTCGATGATGGAAACAGAAACACCGTTGATTGTAGGGTTTAGGAAAAAATAGTAAATCGTCGACAAAACAAAAAAAATGAAAATAACCGAATTGTCAGTACATTTCCCTTTTGGACTAGATTGGCGAGAGTGGTTCCGAAACAAAACTCTATTTTCCTTTTATTTTTTTATTTGAGCTTAAGAATCATGGTAATAATAAAATATGAAAACCTAATTAATTTATGGTTAGCTAAAGTTCTGGATAAAATTAACGCAATATCATAAATTGGACAAATTTTTGATGCTATTTTTTTCTGAATCTATGATCCTACTAATATATTTGAAGGTGTGTCTAATAGTTATCCAACACGTGCAAAAAATGTTATAAGAGTTCCAAAGCACAGACTTGTTACATCAGATAAAAATTCTTTAAACATTAACTTGTACAATATGCTGCCAGATAGGTACAGACATATGGCTTTTGAGGTGGTCAAAACAAATATGGCTTATTGAAAATTGTTTGTATAGTGTGGACGAGTATTCCATCAAAATAAAAAAAACTAAATTAAAATCTTTGGCTTACTGAAATGTGTGAAGGTCATAGCATACTATCTTGCACTTTCTGTACGATTTTTATACTCCGTGTTAGTGTTGTTATTGTTCACTACTGTGTTATTTATAAAATACGTTTTTTTTTAAACCTTTATACTTTTTACATTTTGTTTTTGTATTTTACCTTATATTGACAGGCTGTAATTGCATTGTTAGTGTAGAATATGTGGTTAATAAAATTCTAAAACTCTGTGCGCAGGTTCGAACTTAAACTTTGAGCCGGTAGAGGCGCTGATGCGCAGCCAGTCGCTGAAGACGGTATCAAACAAGGCGGTCGAGTCGCTGAAAGGCGGCAGCACAGTCGCCGGCGATTCGAGATCGGACAGCAGCTCGGTGACCACGAACACCAACCGGGCCCAGTCCGAGACCGCCGCCCCCGTCCGCGACGGCGGCAAAACCGGTCGCGACATCTACCGTCCGTCTCAAGTTGAGCGGGACAAATCGCCGCGACGCAAGCGCTGCTCGCCCGGCATCGACTTGGCTACGAATCCCAACGTCACTTACGTGTCAAACGCAAGCATTCCAGATTTAAGGTGAGCCCGTTTAGCACTTTTGTACTACACAGTGCGTATTCCCGTTTTTGCCAAATTGAAAAGTTCGCCGCCTTACATGTTTAAGACGCGGTCGCGAGTTGCTTTTGGTTTCGTTTCGTCGTCTCGTGTCATTTATTTTTCACGTCGCACTGCGGGTAGATCTTTCAAATTAGCCACCCAAAACTGGGAAAATCCGAATGCTCCGAATTCACGAAATTTGTATTGCGGATCGGTCTCTCATAATGGGCACACTAAATGCGTCTCGTCAGTTTCTAGATATAATTTTTTGGTATGGTTTTTTTTTTCAATATATTAATGTGCTTTTTATAAAACTTCTGAGTTCCTCCTGCGTTGGTTTTTGTTGAGTCGAACTAGCCAACGTTTCGCCAATCATCCTGTTGGCTTCTTCAGAGCTTAAAAAATCAAAACCCCCCTAAATCTAATATTGCAAAGCATGAACGCGTCGCCCTAAAATCTCTAAAATCTAATCCCGACGTCGTAATCCTAAAAGCAGACAAAGGAAATGCTACGGTGGGCATGAACACAAATGAATATCAGGAATCTGTCTCCCCTCATGATTCTAAAATTCCTCGTCTCTACCGACTCCCAAAGATTCACAAACCAGGATTTCCCCTTCGACCTATTGTCAGCACCATTGATTCTCCAACATATTCTCTAGCAAAATATCTAGCTTCCTTAATGAAACCCTTTCCAGGGAAAACTGACAGTTTCGTACTTAAATCGTTTTACTTCATTGAATAAATAAAAAGCATACACAGGATTAGTTTGTTTCGACGTAATTCCTATTCCTGAAACTCTCACCGTCATTTCAGATTCCGAAAATCTGGAACCCAACCTTCTCACCTTAATTAAAAAATGCTTGTCTGGAACATATTTTTCTTATAACGGTCAAATTTTTGAACAAACGTCGGGAACAGCTATGGGTTCTCCTCTATCACCAGTCATCGCGAGTATATATATGGAAGGTTTTCTTAGATATTTAAACTCTATACACCCTAACATACGTAACATTCTTAGATATTCTTATCAATAGGAAATCAATAGGAAAACATTGGGTTATTCTATTTACAGAAAACCTAATAAAATATCAACTAGGCTCAAAGAACATGAACGAGCCTTAAGGTTAAGACAAATAAACTCATCAGCAATTGCCGAACGCAATCACGAAACCGGACCAAATTTTATTCGATAAAACTAAAATGCTTGCATGTAGTCTGTAGTCAATTTTTCTACCAACGAAAAATTCGAGAGTCTACAAAAATATGTAAGCAACGTAACAATCAGCAAACCGCAACTCAGGTCACCAATATTAGAATTAGGCATCCGAGACGGTGTTTACGCCCCTCATTTAGCTCCGCCCCCCTAAAACAATCTAAATATACAGAGTCAGTGATGCAAGTCAGTTTCAGTCAATCTCTGAAGAAGCCAACTGGATAATTGGCGAAACGCTAGCTAGTTCGACTCAATAAAAACCGACGCAGAAGGAATCCAGAAGTTTTATAAAAAGTATTACAGTAGCCTGTGCAAGTTTCTTTGAAAAATTATATTAATTACATTAATTTTTTTTTTCTTCTTTTCATGTCCGTGTCCTCATTGAATATTGGCGCACTTCACTTTTGAAACCATTTCCGTAAGTTCCGAAGCCACGATATTCGCCTGCATCCAGGCCCACATCTGCCCTCTATTTTTCATTGCATAATTAAATGTAGTGCATTATATCGACCTGGGTGACTCGTTAAATTTGCAAGGTATTTTTAGCTTTCTGGTTTTTATGATTTGTTGGACTATTTCCATTCAGTTTAAGCGATGTAGGAAGTTCCTCATTACTGACTCTATTCGTCTAGCTTATGCGCAGCAATCTGCGGTATTACTCTCCTTCCAAAGGTTTCTTTAACCGAGTCCCTGTAAGTATCCAGTTTTCCATTACGTAGCGAGTCATAGTTTTAATTGAATGTTCCGGATACTTAGAAAACACCACGTTAGCCTTCTATGATTTTGATTTCTTTGCTCACATCCTAGTTGGTGTTAATGTTAGAGCCAAGATAAGTGATACTATCGACTCGTTCAAGCTGCCCATGTTATTGACTAGCACCTGCACTTGGTCCGTACTATTAGCTAACAGATGATGGAATATCCCAAGGTATCAAAGTTCACTCAATTCACTTTGATACCGTCACGGAGTGCTTTAAGTGGTTCTCTGACGATGTGTTCAGAGTATAGATTTAAAAGCAGTGGTGACAAGATGCGCCGTCGTCTTACTTCTGTTTGTTTTGTTTTCTCCAGAATCTCAGTTTACCCTGTTAGACTCTGCCGAACGCGTTTTCGAAATCAATGAAACAAATTTAAACAGGATGACTGACATCTCTGCATCTTCGGACGAGGACTTTTATGCCAAATAGTGATTACGTGCGAAGTTTACCAAGTTACAAGAGTATAAAAATGCCTGCCAAGATTTGCCTATTGATTTCATATGTGAGGCTTTAATTTTGGAAACCTTTTTTATGCAAAATATTCGTTTCATATGCGGGACGATCTGTTCCAAATGCGTCAAAAAGCGATTTTTAAGAACGGTATGCACATTTACTTGAATCGAATATACTGTTTCTCAATATTTTAAAATTGGTCACAAATACAAAGCTATGTATATGTAAATGCGGTTTGGACCAAAATGATAATGTAATAATTTAACTATTGGTTAAATTATATCTATCTCAATGATTATTTTTCTCCAAATATGTATAAAATTGAACCATTGAAATTTTGAGTGCTAAATTAAGAGGTTTACCCACGGTGCGTCATAGCTTCATCTAACGCTTGAGTACTAACGTCGCCTTTGGGGTTAATAATAATTGTGACTTAATTGTGACACCATATTTTTATAACATACTTTCTACGTGTTATTATTGCACCCTGGCGGCAACAAACCGCATTCGGGCAATTACCATTATTGTTAAGAAGATAAGAAAGCGACACTTCCCGCTAGCGCTGTCCATTTTCCACGGCACTCTTCGGTGGCACTTTTTGGCACTCGGTGGCCTTTCGTGGCCTTTGATAATCTAACCGCAACAACGACAAAATGGAGTGTACCTTCTTGTCTTTGTTAACGTTATAACGTTAAAGAAGTTCCGGAGAATTTGCAAGGAATTACGTTAAACCTCGGTTACGTTTTACCCCCTTGGTAAACAAAATCGGAGGTAGTTTTTGTTTTTTTATTAGCAATTCGTTACAAAATTTTGGAATAAAATTTATATCTTTCAAAATAAGAAGTCTACGATTGTGGCTTTTATTAGGAGAGACATGGTATATAGAGGGATTTACGGCAGGACGGTGGGTTAGAAGTTTACGGTACGGTACATTTTGTGCGCCCTTATGTATTACAGGGTGATCTTGTCTACACAAAACTATTTCACGCCACCTTCGTAAACTGTAGCCAAAATTTCAACCCTGTACAAACTCAAATGCGGCCGTAATAAAGATTTAATTGTTCTTTTCTTCTGTTTTGTACAAAGGATAGCGAAAAGAATTACTTTGTCAAAGACCGCTGAAAATGGGCACAGCGATGTATTTATACAAAAAATCGTGATGGCGGGACAGAACATTCATTAATGCCATTTAAAATATCCAAGGCGCGAAGATGAAACATCTTCGTTCATGTAAACGACTAAATTTCCAGAACGATCCTACTCGGCGTTCACCATAAACGTTTAACATAGCGTCCATCGTGATTAACCCTCTTTGTATAGGTAATTATTGTAAGAAAGTTAAAATCCAATGTGGTGCATTTAAACTAATTTTGACACCTTACATCGTAACACTCACCGTTGCGGTAGTACCCGATAGGGGGCACGCGAACGCCGTTCGAGAGTATATACCACAGACGTCCAACTAAAAGAGGTCGCATCAATCATTCATAAAATTATTATTATTAAGGGATGGGTGGTGTGAAGAGTGTTGTGTGTGTTATATTATAAACAGTTAAATTAAACAAACTAGACACAATGTAACAGGTAATAAAATACACAGAACAAGAAAAAAAGATACTCCCGCTGGTACAACCGATGTCGCACGAAATTAGTAAACCATCGTCTTACTTAATAAATAAAATTTTTGAAACAGGGGACTTCCCTGAGGAATTAAAATATTTATTGTAAAACAACTATTTAAAAAAGGCTTGGACCAGAAATGTAGCGCTTTTCCAACCGACCCCGTGATTAACTTTACCTACCGCACCCCTTATAGATCACCCTGTAGAGCAGACCCTTATCCGTAACCATTCCAGGACTGTCCTAGGAATTTATCTACCTACGCTAACAAGCGGGATATAAGTATTTTTTCACTCTTTTTTGCCGGGCAAATCTTGAAACATGTACATAAAAAATATAGTACAAAGTAACAATTTATTACGTTTTATTAAATATTAAATGTAATAATAAGTGTCAGTCACTTAAAAAATCGTCACTACCACTACTGTTCTCACCTAGCTCAATGATTAACTCCGCCACTAATCGTTCTCGATAAATATTTTCTTCTTTTATTACTCGTTTTTCAGTTATACCAGCTTTGTACTGATATTTTAGCTAAAGTCTGTTCATAGATATAAGAAAATGACTAACTGATACGAATTAAGGAAAGACTCGGGCAAGCTGTAAGAATGAAATATGGCCGAACAGGTCCGTACTTTGCTTAGAATTTATTTATTTGGGGTTTTGTTAGGAAAGATACTAAACAATATTTATTTATTTATTTATCTATTTATGTTTAAATCTAAAATAAAATTACAAATTATTTTTATTACCTACTAAAATTACTTAAAATTATTCACATAATATATCAGTATCACTATCGCTATCATCGCTTGTTCTAATTATAATTTGTTCTATGTTATTTGCAATATGGATATACGATTGTTCTGCTTTTTCTATATATTTAACAGAATTTGTCCAACTTGGATATGTAATGTAGGCACTCTTTGTTCCTTGTATAACTGGTAAATTTTACACCATATTATATCTTGATCACTTTCATCTACACTCGAGAAAATGTCAGCATCGCTTCTTTTTTTTCTCGCTGAAATGGGATTATTCACAATTTTCCATACAATTGATGTTGGAATTTTCGTCAATGTGGCCGTTTCTTCTAAAGATGCTTGCTTGCTGGCATCACGTTCAATGAGAGTCAAATAAACATTGTTTATAACTTCCTTAGTCTCAATAGAATAGTGTTTTATACATTTGGGCGGGAGCATCTCCTGAGATACACTAGACACTAGACGTTTCAATACACGCTGTATTACACACGAAATAAGAATGATTACTAATAAACTTAAATTAAGTAGAATATCAAACCAAAGAATATTAAACACAGGTAATTATAAAATTATTTTCTATTACGGGCCACAATTTTACCTGAATTTAAATTCCGAAACTTTAGATAATAATCTTGTTACATTGTATGTTAATGGACCACCCTTATCTATGAACAAACCATACTTTGCCGAATTACATTTATGGTACTATCACTAAATTTTGTTTAGTAAGGTAACTAGAGTACAAGTACTTACCCATACCCTTTGAACTATCCAGTGAAAACAGCCTCGTAGGCTCGAAGCTCGAGAATCAGGTACATAAATACTTACTGGAAGAATCCCTTCGTATTATATATGAACATATTGCAACTTAGATTAAACTCTTAAGAACGATACATATCACTTGATGTTAAAATAAACGCTTCTACTGATTCGAAAATACTCCTCAGCATCAATGCTTAATCAAATTTAAAACGGTCTATTTACGTTTCAAATAAAAATTTCAAGTTTCTATAAATATTTGTTACGGTCCGTCTCAGGCAAGACCTACTTGATGCAGAATAAACATCTGTTGGGATGGATTTTTACTCGGCCCTGCGAAGGTCGCTAAAATACCACCAACACCAAACACCAAAAAATTTTGGAACGGGGAGGAGTACTGCATACCGGAAAAAATTGGAAAATGTGCAAAATTATTTCCTGAACAACTAGAAATAAGTCTTCTGTACAGCTTTTCAGGGAATCGAAATGTTTTTGAGCTATTTTTTAAAACAACAGTTATTACAAAATTTAAATCATTCTTACAATACATTCATTATAATTTCTTATAAGGCATAATCTTAACAAATTCCCTGCCCGCCACATGTCTGGTACCCCTTTAGTTTTTCTTGTGCAAGAAGTATACTATGAAAAAAAGTATTACAAATATATCCAACAAAAGTTTTTTTTATATTTTTTTAAAGAAAAAAAGCGATTTTTTTTACAAAGTTGTGTATTTTTGTTACAAAAGTATAATGTAAAACAGAACAGAAAGAAAATATTATTTTGTACTGTTACTGAGTTAGACAAAGACCTGGACCGCCCGAACATTGAGGACAGTAGTAGACAGAATCCTTTCTCTGGCCATTGCCCCAAGAAAGACAGCATCTTCTTCTTTTCGCCTTTCCATTCTCTCCTTTTGGACAATACTCTGGGAGGTGCTGGAGGATCATCTCAGGCACTGGATCTGGAGGTTTGGGTCTAAGCAGTTTTTTAATGACCTCCAACCTAAAGTCATAGAAGTTTTTACGATCTCCGATGTTTTTTATACAACTGCTGTGAATTTAGCAACATTATTTGAAACATATGGATGGCTAGTTTCTTGTGCCAAATGAGAGTTTTGTGCTTACAGGAGTAATAAGATAACATTTGATCAAAATGATCAACACCTGCCATAAATTTGTTGTATTCGTTAATTATCTGTGGTTTCATCACTAATTGACCGCGTTGTGTGCGAACCTCTTCCAGCTGACCGCTAAATTCACTAGAAATGGCTAACATTTCTGTCCAACTCCCAGGTATTTTTTTAGCAGAGACAGTACGACGTTTTTATAGTCTTTTTTCCAGTAGTCGTTAATCCTATTCATCCGAATTATTCCCATATGAAATAAAATCCCAAGGAATACTTTTATTTCGTCAAGAGTTATATCATTCCAACTACTAATCCTTGATTGTTCTCTTTCGCTCCTGGCAAACAATTCGACAGCAAGCGCATTGGCTTTGTTACATAGAGACGCGTAAAACTCTTTTGTGGCTAACAATTCAAAATAATGATTTGACTCTGTTCTCTTGGGATCATCTTCGCTGTCATTTAGAAATGGATCATCTTCATATTCATCTAATTCTGAATCACTTTCCGGAACTTCCTCATCACCTGATTAGTTTCCCAAAATTTAACGAATTTCCGCATCTGTTAACTTTTTTGCTATATACGGGTTGTATTTATTCCGTTTTGTGACAGGCTGAGCATTCTCTTTAGAAGCTCTAGGATTTTGAACCATATCACACTGTAACATAACAAGACATATAATAACGTTTTCAACTGTGTGTGCGCCATGTGCCCAGCAACGCACCTGGCGCGGTTAGCGATATGATTTCATAACCAAAACATAATTTTACTTTTATATTTGAGCAAAACGATACATAACTTTGTAGTTTTTATCTATTGAAAACATATACATTAGTTTATAAATAACTGTGATACAAAACTTACCTTTTAAACAGCAACAACACAAATGTTAGCGTAAAAAACGCAGAACTCTTTAAAAACACGTGGTGTCCTTGAACCAACCCACTGATACTGTTAACATCCTGAATGCCCCACCACACGTTTAGACAAATCCAGCCATGCCTGCGAAAGTAGTTGACTTTGAATACAAACGGGTATAGAACTAACCAATAAATAGCCTAATAAATATAAATGCTTAAGTATAAAAAAGTAAACGAATTATTAGAATAAAAGTAAAAGAGTAAGTAAAAAAAAAAAATCGAAAATAAAAAGTCTGAGGTTTGTTTTCAATATCAATATCAGAAATTTCTAGAAACCTTTAACAGCTTCATTAGTCACTTTCTGCAATTTGGGGCAGGGTAAATTTATGAAATGTGATCCCGTACAGCGTAAGGGTTTTATGGAGAATATTCATTTTTTAAATTTTTATTGATATACCTATATGTTTTTGATAATTATGTTGTTTACTGGATAAATATGTATTATTATTATTATTATTATTATTATTATTATTATTATTATTTGCTTACATACCTATAAAATGACACTTGGGAAGTCAAACTGCCAAGGTCTTTCAAAACTCCACAGTATTGCGGTTTTTTCGCCATAAGTCTTTGTATAAGCAATATCCCAAAAACCACCCTTTCACTTTTTTCGGAAAAAATAAGGAAGAGCAGACGTACGTGAAATCGAGGTAATAAAAAGATATTTCTTACAAACCGTATCGCTATTCGTTATTTTATGGGTAATGAAATATTAGCAGGATATTTTATTAAAGTATATTAAATCAAATTTCTAATTTTCCTATTATTTTGAGTATTGGTGAAAAAAAAAACTGCCGATGTTCAGAACTGGCAACATTGTCACAGTCTATCAGATATTTGCATCACGTGAAGATGAAAACGATGCCATCTCTCTTGACTATATATATCTATGGTATATACCTCGCGGTTATTAATTCGGTGGTTGGTATTCAGGGAAAAGAGGTCGATAGCGAACGGTCTTAGTCCCGGTATAGACGAGCAGTCGGAGTACTTTGACGCGACGGAAAACCCGATGACAAAAGACAAGCGCCCGGAGCAGGACGACGAGGACAGCGGCGTCGACAACGCCAGTCAAATTTTGCGAGAATTGTCGGTAAGATGACAAACCGGCTCACTTTTATAGGGTCGCGAATATTAAAAGTAATTTGGGCCGTCAACCTGTAAATACACAATTCGGTTCCACGACGTCATCGATTGCGTCACGTTTTTCAACCGGAACGAACTAAAATATCGGATATTGAATTTAGTAATTCGATTACGATTAACGACAGAAAAGAATCTTCTCTATATCCATAAAATCAACGAGTAATAACCATACCAACAAAACTAGGGTTAGAATTCCAAGCAACTTTCATCTGGTTACCAGTGACATCTAAAGCTCAACCAATGTCGAAAACTAGAAATGAAAGTGGAAGCGCGGTTGACAGCTCAAATTTGCTGTTACATCGCCATTTTCGGTTTACTAAGGTTTTTTGTTCGATGATCAAGGGTTGATTGAAGACGTGAGATTTTATCGTAACCAAAAACTTATGGAAAGCCGCCCATAATCACGTATACAGTGTATGCATTATTCGTTGTTATTGCGCAATATTTCAGTTACAATTATATGCGGTTTTTTGGTAAAAGAAATAATTTGTAAAATGTGAGCTGAGATTATGTTTATGTTAGTTTAAATGGAACTTGATAACCTTGTTAAGATGAACAAAATTATGATAGAAGTATATTTTGTAAAATAACAAAATATATGTTTATTTAAAATAATATATTAAGACATTATACCTTTTTCGATGAGCTTATAAAAGCGAAATCAAATATATACATGATGTTCCATTCAACTTCACTCACAATCTGAGGACGCCGCTGAATTATACTTAAATTGCCACAAGTTCCGTTTCTTTCTATATCTCAAGAATTCAGGTCTAGCGCAGTAATAATTAAAATTAGCTTACTGCATATATTCGTAACATTCGTACATTAATTTAGAACACGGAATATCATATTAAACAAAAAATTCAGAATGTATTTTTCAACACTCATACAGTGAATGGTTAAAATATGGAACAAATTCATTGAAAAATCAGGTATTGGATTTCAAGAAAAAAGCACACTCAGTCATAATTTTTTCATGCGCACTTTTTGAAGTAAATAAAACAAACATATATAGGGTTGGTCAAAAAGTATGTAGATGTAGATATCAAGTTTTTTTTTTAATTGAACACCATTTTTTTAAATCCATTTTAGAATTCTGTGTCAATACTGTAATAAAAAACATATCAAAGAATACATTTTATTACGGGTCGAAAATGCCTACCATTAACTTCTTGACAGTATGCTATGCCCCCCCCCCCCCCAAAAAAAATATTACTCAGGATATTTCCAATTATTTTCCTTATTTCGTATCTAATTCTAAATTGTAAATCGTCTAGTTTCTCCTTATGTACTTTTGATTTTAAATGTCTCCTGAGGAAACAGCAGATCCTACAAGCCATTCTATTGATCCCCTTCTACCACTGTCCGGGAAATACCGTATTTAAATATTTACCTGCTTATTGAGCAAAATGGGGCGGAAAACCAAAAAGCTGTTCGTTGGCTAACATCATTATTTGGAGCTACTTCAGAAGGTGCGCGATGGGGATTAACCTCAACTTTTAATAAAATGTTGTGTTCTTGGACGACCTTTCTTTTTTTTTTCCTGAATGTTAATTACTGTGGATCTTGTAATGGGTCTTTCTGGATATTTTGCATTAAATTACAAACTTCTTCATGAGTTCTCGTTTTGTCTCCATATCCAATAAAAATTACAATTTCGATTCTATTGGTTTCTTTCACCTCCTTTACTTTACTGACAAAAATGTAATTGTAACAATTTAAGAACTTTAATGGTATGAGCTACTCACCCTTCTTCTTCTTTTACTTCCGTTGGCCACGACTGCTAGGATCATTCGGCCATAGCTACTCACTCATTTCAAAGTAAAATTTCTGTTTTTAATTTTTTTGCTCATAAAAAGTAAGCGATAGGTGTAAATGAATTATGCGTGTACTTTGACATAGAATTCGAAAATAGATTTTTTAAAAATATGTTCCATAAAAAAAAGGGAACTTGGTATCGGCATCTACTTCTTGAGCCCCCGTGTATATTTTCTGTCTACTGTAAAAATATGCACAAGATGAAGTTATAATGGACTTGTGCAAGCATTTTTCTAGTAATTTAATACCTGATTTTTAAATGAATTTGTGCTACATTTTAGCCTATTGTTGTTCTTGAATAGGTATGGTGGATTCACGCAAGCATCCATTAACATTAACATTAAAATTAAGGAAACAACGGTTCGCACTGGGATTTAGTGAATTAATTATTCATTTGTATATTCATTTGTTTCTTTCTTCTCTTTTTCCAAGGCGAAACTGACTTTCGTGAAGCACAGATTATAAATGAATGAAAAACTAAAAGTTGACTAGCTTTTTAATGTTGATATTAATAAAATGAAAATTTGCAATGACAGAGATCATTAAAAAGGTTGGACAACATAAAGGTTATATCGTAAAGATGAACTACGCTCGTTGGATTCCCGAGAAATAATAAGAGGCTCTACATTGCTTTCCAGGTTATTATCCACTCCCACATTCTTTCTTCGACGCAGTTACTCTATTTTTAACAATCCATTGTTTTTACTCTCTTGTAAGACGGTTTCAACGTCCCTCATTTTAAAAGTGGTGTTATGCCTCGTTACGGACTTGCGCCCATACCAATTCTATGGTGTTCAATTTCCAGTTATATGGCGGAAGCCGAAAGACAAAGTATTCAAATTTACAATCTCCAGTAATTTTTTTTTAGCGTAGCTTTCTGAAATTGCTTCTTATTTAACATAAGGCATGTCAGACCTGTCAGGTATTTTTTCGTATTTCCTTGTGATAGCATTATCCATGACTATACGAGATCCAGGAGGAATGAGGATATAGTCTTTAAAAAGCGTCAGTATTCATGCTTCCATGATAGTCTCCAGTCCGTTTTAATTCAAATTGTTGTAAGCCACCACCGACAAATCTATTTTAGCCAACAACGAACTTGCCAACAACTATAGGAAAGTAACTATATTTCTAATTTTTTAACACTAAGGTGAACTGGACAATCTTCACAGGTCACGCCAATGAAATACGCCTGAGAAAGACCATGAATACTTTTTACAAAACTTGGACATTTAAACTCTATACACCCTAACATACGTTTTACCATTGAGTTGGAAATTAATAATAACCTCCCATTCTTAGATATTCTTATCAATAGAAAATCAGACCTAACATTGGGTCATTGTGTTTGCAGAAAACGTACCCACACAGACCCATGTAATGTATGTAATGTACACATGACCATACGGCCCAAAAATCATCGGTTATCAACTCTCTTGTTTACAGAGCTGTGAAACTATCTCATCCCTAGTCATTGCACCGAGAATTAAAACACCTTACCTCTTCTCTCTAATAATTTCCATATTATAGATATTAAGCGTTCCATCTCAAAATGCACTTCACCACAACCTTCCAATAGCAATGAAACCGAAAGCATCCCACACTTGCCATTGTTGTTCTTCCTTACATTCAAAACATCACTGACCATATATCAAAAGTTCTAAAGAAATATAACGTCAAAACCAGATTTACCACTTGTAGAAAAATCTCTCAGCATCTTCGATCCGTTAAAGACAAAATTCCATTTGAAATGCCAGGAGTTAATAGCATTTCATACATATGCGACTAAAAATACATTGGAGAGACCGGACGAAAAATATCAACTAGGCTCAAAGAACATGAAAGCGCCTTAGGCTAAGACAAATAAACTCATCAGTAGTTGCCGAAACACAATCACGAAATCAATCAAAATTGCATTTAATCAATTCTTCTACCAACCAAAAATCCGAGGGTGTATAGAAATCTATTATCAACCTAACAATCTTAACCGCGACTCAAGTCTTTGCCTGTCACCAGTATGGGAATCAGTTATTCGAGATTATGTTTATACCCCTCATTTAGCTCCGCCTCAAACAATATATAAGCAGGTACAGTTTCAGTCAACCTCTGAAGAAACCAACAGGATGATTGGCGAAACGTTAGCAAGTTCGGTTCAACAAAAACCATAGGTTTTGTAAAAAGTATTACAGTGGCCTGTGGAAGTTTCTTTGAAAAAAAAGGCCATGAAGTTTTACAATTCATTAATGATTGATAACTGTTTCTCGTTACAAAACATAGCATAGTGTTAATGGAAGCTAGCTTGCCTGAATCGACCATTATTGCATATTACGTCCTCACTCACTCTTACATTGTCGTGATAGAAATTTTGTTAATTAAAAAATAGCGGTTACAGGTTGGGCGAAAAAGTTATCTGTTTCTAGACCAGTCCGGGAACGGAGGCGAGTCGTATATCGAAAATACCGGTGTCTGTCGCGGGCGGCCAACGATTGGCCAAATGTATGTCGTGGTCAGGCGACCTCACGCCCGGTCTCAGGCGGCGCAGGCAGGGCGAGAAATACGTCACCGATCCCAGCCAGCTGAAACTCCGGTTCAAGAGGCACTCGAGCGGCGGTAAGTGGTTCGGAATAGGGGGCGGGGACTACGGGCGCCTGGGCTGCTTGCTACTGCCATCATTTAAATTTGTTTTTTTTTTCATTGACATTTAATTTTCGTCCGACATATCGTGTATTTTGAGTATTTATTTGCCGCACATTTTCGTTGTTAGGTTAGGTTGGCGAACGAAGAGACTGACGTTAACTCGTTTTTATGGCCGAATGTTCCACGCGGTCTTGGCCAAAAGAAAACGTGCTTTTAATTTTTTTTTTGCTGACTTGTGTCTTCGGGCCTTCCCGAATTTCTTTTAATTTGAGAAATACTGTTATATATGAAGAAATTTTTTGAAATTATAATCTAAAGCCCGATAGACACGATGCCCTTTTTTCATGTAAATATTGCAACCTCTCTGGTGATATAATGCAAATATAGTCGAAATCACAGAAGATGACTATTAAAAGTGGAAATGTGTATATATAAAAGAAACATATTTCAATTGTTCAACACTAAAAGAAATAAAAACTCAAACCCTCCAGACAGAATGAATCCTGATTCCTCCATCGCAATTCCAGTAATTGCAAAGGAAAGTTTTGTTTCCCGAATATTATTATAAAAAATGTAAAATGCAATCGAAAACAAAATATTTACCATGACTTTTACATATATAAATAATTTACAATTTGTTCATTTCCAAAGCTTCAAGTAAATTTAATTTGTAAGTAAGTAAATGATCAATGTCAGCTTGGACCTGAACTGCCTGATCTTTTGCCCAACTACTTGCAGTCGGTATATAAGGAGAAAATTGTTGCTCTTACAGATATTCATTGGCAATTATTTTTGAGGAAATGCTTAAAATGGACCTAAGTAAGGGCCCTGGTCCTGACCGAATTCCTCCCTTGGTTTGAAAAGCTTGTAGTTTTGTTTTATCCCGCTCCTTTTTTTTTATTAAATCACTTTCCTCTGGCATCTTTCGTGATTTCTGGAAATTAAGTTATTTGAAACCCAACTTTAAAATTGGAAATAAAGCGGACGTCAGTAACGACAGACCCCCATTAAATAACTAACCTAAGCTATATTCCCAAACTTTTCGAAAGGATAGTTGCTGATACATCACGATTATGTTCAGCTTTTGCATAAATAGCTCTCCATTGTCTCGGGTTTCAAACATCAGTGATATTGGAGTAATAATGGACTCCACTTTAGCATTTGTTAGTCACATAGAATAGAATAGAAAAAAAACAACATCAGACTTTAAAAGTATTTCTGATATTAAATTACTGTACTGTTGCCTAGTTAGACGTTTATTAGAATATTACTCAAGAGCCTGGAACCCTCGTTATGCAAGTCATATTCATAGGATTTGAACTACCAAAATTGAGGGTTAGAAGAGATCAGGCAGATCTTTTTAAGCTCATTGATTGATTGATTGTCCCATATTGCTTTCTTCATGGACGCTCTCAGTTTCATCTGGAAATACCAGATTCCTAAATGTATTTTATCGGCCCTCTACTCGCACGTTGTATTTTGCGTCAGGTAATGTAGGTATAAAGGCTATAGTAATTTATTTACTTATTTACTCTTCTATTGTACTAAAAGTATGGAATAAGACTTGTCGTAATAAATGAATTATGATATTCATTTATTGGTTTACTGAAACGTCTTCCTGTTTGGCGTCGCGTCTAGAAGATGGCGGTAAAATACGTTGGCGTGATTCGCGAATTTTTCAGTTTGGCAACACTCGTACGAACGAAATGGCCCCGCCCCTTTGCCTATCCCTTCCGGGTCACCCAAAAACCGATTCCTAACGCAACCCTATCCGTCTCTTACCCTTTGCAGGTGGTATCCTGCGAATCCTCTTCGATCTCGCGAAACTGCGCACGCTCCTGCTATGGCTGTGGTATCGTTTCAGGTTTACGAGCGAGGGGGATCTCTAACTGCCTGATCGACGCTCCCGAAAGCTCGCCGGAATCGTCGGAGGGGCCGCCGCCGCCGCCGCCAGGCGGCGACCCCCCGCCGGAGTCGCAGGTGAGGTGCCGACGGTTCAGGCCCCTGACATAATGCGCAGGCCACACCCCCTTCTTTATTCCGTACGACCGCGGCGCCGCCAGAGGGCGGTCGCGGCAGCTGTAGATATTGTTTGATTTTTTTTCTTTTTTGAGGAAGAAAACAATGTGTTTGATTCGAGATTACATGTGCTTTTTTCGGATATTGGTTGTTTCGTGAAAGAAAGACCCCATATATTTATGATGCGAGTTATTTTTTATTACGGTGCGAAATGTTGGACGCGGACATAATTTTATTTCACTCTCTCTATCTCTCTCTCTCTCTTTACATTACCATTGACAATTTTTACAGAAGATTGCTTTACGCTGCTGTCGAAGGACGCAATTGCGTTGACATCATCCCTTGAAAAAAATAGTAGACTATGGATAGTCACCATAAATGACAGAAAAGAAAAGCATCTCCACACCGATAAAATATATAAAAAGTCGTTAAGACATCAGTAAAAAAATATATATGCTTTTGATGTAAGACTGTTTGTTGTGGGTTTGTTACGGTCCTGCATTAATCTTACGATTTTTGGTTAGCCTAGACCTGGACTACTTGATGTTTTTGACGCCTACTTTCGGTATATAAGTAGAAAATGGTTGGTCATCAAGATATTCATTATCAACTGTTGAGGAGAAAATGCTGAAGTGGCACTTTAACAAGGGCTCTGGTCCAGACGGAAATCCTCCCTTGGTATTTAAAGCTTGTAGTTTTGTTTTATACCTCCTCCTTTACTTAATTTTTATTAAATCGCTCTCATCGGGCATCCTTCCTGATTTCTGGAAATTAAGTTACTTGAAACCCATCTGTAAAAATGAAAATAAAGTAGACATCTGCAGCTACAGAGCCACACTTTTCGAAAAGATTGTTGCTGGTTATTTGGGTTCTATTTTTCCGAGCAGTTTGTTATTTTTTTAACAAGAGATCCACAGAATCTGGTTACTTATGAATAAACAAATTTGTTGGCTTTCTTTCCATATTTATCTCTCTCTCGGAACTAATAATTTCCCTGTCTGCGTTTTTAATACACCATTACCTAAAATTCAAGAATAGTGACCCAGAACAAAACTTCTTTCCGTTCCCTGACCGCTCTAAGTTGTTTCTTTGTTATGGTACCACTCTAACCTAATAATTAAAACTAGAAACATTTATTTAACATTCAACGTTTTAACCCAGCTCAAAATGGTCCAAATATCAGCTGAAGGTGAGCACTTGAATGCTCGAAACATGTTCTGAGGTCTCAACGCTCTTTTTATATATAAAAGTAGGGTTTTACCTAAAATTTTTGTGGAGGTGGTTCGGTTCTCTTGAGTTTACAAATCCACTTTGAGAGCTAGACTACTCCTTGTGATATTATTGATATATTAGTAACGCCAAATGGTTGCAATCCTTGGTTCAGCATACAAATAAGCATTTTTTAATCCATTGGTGTTCATTTTTCCAAGTTGCGTCGTCAAAAAAAATCTAACGATTTTCTTTTCTGTGTAAATAACGACTTCTTATACCTCTATCACTACGGGTTCATATTTGTCACGATATTATAATAAAAAAATTCAGCATTTTGACTGTCATCAACAAGGATCTCTTAAAACATTTTTAAGTTTTGTTTTTGTAGGCTATAGGCTATAATTTTCCGCGCCCAACAATTTGTACTTTGACACACGGCGCAGCACGTATTGGAGATCGCCTTAAGCTTAGCTCTTTGACGTTTTTTTTTAGGTTATATTAACCTTGCGAGCGTACTCGAAACTTAAGATAATCTCAGAGGCGGTAGTTCAAACGTCTCGTCACGATGATATTCGCGATATTTTAATAGACTTAAGGGCGGCAGAAACATGTTCCGTTTGTGTACGTAAAGGTGGCTTTATACATATTTATATAAAATCCATCGCGGGGAACGCAAAAGAAAAAAACTTGTATATACAATGTGACACTTATTTATTTTTGTAAACGATTTGCCCCGACCCCCACTCGACGACGAGTGTTTCGCCTTTTGTTTCCGTCGGGGCGCATTTAGGTAGCTGAATTTTGAGCGATAGCGTACGAAAACAGACCGTATATAAGGGATATCAGGGGTGTAAAAACCCGTAAAAATAGAAACGCCGCTTTTTGTTTTGAGAGCACACTCACGTTGTATAATTCAAAAGAATTAGTCTTCGGGACACTTGTAATTGTCACCTGTTATCAGATTTCGATAGTAAATTTGTGAACTTGTAGGAATAATCGACATCCAACTAAAAGAGGCCGCATAAATCGTTAATAAAATTGCCGTTGTTGTGATAAAAATTGACAAAATGGAATTTAAGCAAAAAACCCCTTGGATGTCCAGCACTGGCAACATTGCCTCAACCCGTGAATATTTTGCAATTAGTTGTTAGCAATTAAGGGGTCAAAAATAGTTCTTTTTTTACTTGTAGCTAACGCTACAAAACAAGTTTCAAAATAAAAATGAGGTGTTATGACGATAAGAAATCCTCTAAAATGGCTGTTTTTCTATTGTTAATAACCCATAGCAGAAAATGTGGAACGAGCTTCATACCCAAGCAAAACAAGCCTCTTGGGACATACAAGAAGCTCCGAAAATTTGGAATATTAATACTCAATATTTTTCACACGATCAATTTGTTAATAACTTTTTAGTTTTGTTTAAAATTATTTATTTAAAACGATCTGCAAATACTACGACTACGGGCAATTCAAAAACTCATTTTAAAAAAATGCGAGACATCGTAATTTTTTTGATTGTTTAAACCATTTGCCCAAGTTAGAGATCATTTTTTTGGTTATAAACACACATCTTTTGTTTATATAATTTTCCTCTAGCCGAGTATTATACCTCTTGAAATATTTCGAGGAAAGGTCAACATTGAAGTCTGCCTCAATAAATATGACTTCTAATACGCGTGTGCCAATTATACCGACGCAAACATTAACTCCGAATCTCTATCAGAAAATAGTTTGAATAAATTCGTTCCTAGCGGTTTTCGAGAAGATAATTAATTTCTTCATTCTTCGGACGAAAATATAGCTTCAGAAATTTTTGCTCCTGAAAATTTAACTAACCCCTCTTGTTAAAATAATTTCTCAGTGTTTGTAAATAAAGGTACGGTGATTTTTTTTCTCTCCAGTTATCGGCGATCGCATCGGTTTCCGATTAGTTTTTCTATTTAAACAATTTAAAATATTCCATATTTTTCTAGTCAAAATACGTCCTACGATTTGTCAACAAACAAACTTTCTTTTATCTTACATAATTCTACCTTCCAAATAATATTCGTAAGATAAATAAGATACGCGTTTTATATCATAACCTTAAAAAGGGATAAGTGAATAATAAAAAGCAATATTTTGGTTTTTGCATCCCCCACTAAAAGATAATGGTTTTAAATTTGATAAACCATTTTCACTTTAAGGACTGTGCAGAAAATTGTGCATGAAAAATACAATATACTATAAAAGAAGACTAAAAAGTGTAAAGAACAACAGCAAAAGACTAAAGATTTGAGGTTTATGAATTCTATAGAGAGGAACTCTAGAAAACCGAAGTGTTTTGAATATTTATTGACAGAATCTTGAGTTTTCACTATGAAAAGGACTGGAACCAAAGATTTTTATATGAACAGCCACAGATAAGGACTCGGCGTGTTCAATTTTTAAAGAAATGTAGTGGGAACTACATATCAGAATTTAGAAAAGTGATATTTTTAGACGAAACGTGGATATTTTCCAATGGAAGTGGTTCAAAATCTCGGCTAGAAAGAGTATGTAAAAAGTGTCAAGAGGAAAAGGAGATGTGGCACAGGAAACAGGAAAATTTGGATGCTCTGTCAATAATAGTATTGGACTGCACAAGTATTTTAAATAAACAACCTCTTGGCAGAAAGATATTTGTAAGTGGCTTGAAAAACAATCATTCCATTCGAGGAGAAGTTTTCGGCTACCGTCTCTTGGAGACTGTCAAATTTTCATTTCTTTGTTATAGCTGCCAAAATAAATTAAACTGTTTAATATTGTTACTAATAAGATAAAATTCAGTTGATTATTAAGTTATAATTTTTTTTTGTAACATTTTAAAATCTGTAATATAATTTTTGTAAAAATAATGTTATGTGGCAGTCACAACGCTGTTTGGGTATATGTAATTCCACAACATTTTCGTAGTCTCTGTGTTTTCTGATTTCATTTTTATGGTAATACTGTACTTGAAACTTTCGGAGCCTCTTTTGCGGCCCAAGTTTCGTTTTGCCAGGATACGAAGCATGCTCAATATACCCTGCGATTGTTTATTAACAATTAAAAAAGAGATGTTTTAGACCGTACAAGTAGAAAAACTGAATTATTAGTTGCCCAATCTTCAAAAGGAAATATTGAACATGGATTCATTCATAGCACTTTCTTCCTTTCGAACTCTGATATCAGGCGACAATTTCTATGAGAATCACCTCGATTAGACTCTAATTCGACTGGGAAGTGCAAGTGAAAAAGATGATTTTTTTATTTATTATTTATTGTTGTGTATTGTTAAGTATATTTGTGATTTCGTCCGAGTTGTGATTGTGGAAGTTTAGTTTCAACGAGCTATCTGGCAGTATCGAGAATTATATACCATGAAGATATTTATAGGAACTTAGGCCGCACATCGAAACTCTTTTTTTTTCCTCGCTTCGTCGGATATTTAATAATTGTTACGTCAGTTCTCGTTAATGCCAGCGGCGGGGGTGCGATACGCGCGCCGATGAGAAATTCTAGTCGAGTAACTATCCAAGTATTTCCGTTTTTTTTCTTTTTTTTTGTCATTTAAATGAAGTACTTGAAGTTTTTTATTCTAGTCACGCGATAGAATAAAAGAAAATTAATATTAAAAAGTTATTTAATAGCGAGAGGAAGGTACTATTTAACAGAAATATATATTACTCGAACAACATTACAAAAAAAAAATGAAAGAAAATAGCTAGTACGATATATCTAGGCTGCTAAGGTTGTTTTTTTCTATTATTTCGAATGTACATTCGTTTTGTTTCTCGGTTCTTTCCGGCGCTGTGTTTTTAAATTATAGTTATTAATAAAATCACGAGGTTGTTTTATTTTTCCCACATATTGAAGATCCTAGAATGCGTTATATCGTTGTGACGAACATTCTGGAAAATGAACTAAAATTTTTTTTAAAATTCAGTGATCATCTGAAGTAGTTCATTGGCGCAATTAATTGATTAGTGCAGCGCATCACGACGTCGATTTTTATCAAGTTTAAAATAACAAATGATTATGTAACCTTCGAAAACACTCTAATTTTTGAGAAATTAATTGAAGTTACTTGTTTTATTTTTAATAAGAAAATTAATGACCTGCTTACCTAATATTTGCATATTTGATAAAAACCGATTTGCTTGCAATATGAATACTATAACGGGCTATACAAAGAGGCTACCAAACCATTCACGAAGAAATTAAGAAAAATGAAGAGAGCAGTATTTGCGAAACCGCCTTGTTGTTGAACGCAAATCCACAGAAAACGCGCTGCCGCAGAACAATTGAAAATCACTTAGACATTTATCAGTCAATTGAAAACAAAAATGGAGATTTAAAATTGCAAGTGTTTATTATGAGAATGGATGGTTGTTTTGATTGTGCAATGGTGAATTTTTAACCACACATTTAATAAATAAAGCAGTACGGCAGTACATACGCCATTGTTATATTTTGAAAGCGATACTGTTACACTGACGATTTTGTCACGACCAAATTTGACCAGTGTAATAATTGACATTAAATAATCTTCAATCAAATTCAAATTTTTGTTTAGATTAACTATGAACAATAACTAACCATAGTTATTCTAAGAATTTTTGCGATACTTCAGCAATTTTGCCAAAACCAAAACATAACATAACCTCTAAATATTATGAGTTGGTTGAACTGTTAAATGACATCTTAGACGTCAAATACATTGAAATTTGTAGTGTAAAATCAACACCACTAGTAGGAGGGCAAAAAAAAACAACCTTCTAAAAAAAAACTTGTAATGTAACTTAAATAAAACCGTTTTTCTTCCACATAGATATTCTTAATGAGGTACATGCAAATCCTAAACGTTAGGACAGTGGAACTATTTTGTAAAATGACTAGAATAAAGTTTCCTCTACAAGAGTAGGTTATTTTACATCCATATGTACAGCTGTCAAAATAGATAACGTAAATGGCGTTAAAATGTAAAAAAGACTCATTCCTAACGGTAAGTACGCTCAGTCGATTACGAGATGGGAGGTGTTCTCAAAACCATGCTTTGCCCAAAAACCAATGGCTTTAAAGCTTCTAACATCCCCCGCCAGCGACATCTGTTGCCTTAAGTTGAACGCAAAAAATAGTGGATTTCACTCAATTTAGTTTCGGCGTGTTAAGTGCTAAATGCACACAAAACTGGCTACATTGGAAGACTCGGAAGTTGATTATCGTTATTTGATGTAATGGGAAGCATCCCGCTCATAAATAGGATTATTCTCACTACTGAAAAGATTGCGCTATTACCCCCACTGGCGGCGGATCTAAAGTAAAAAAAAACACCTCTTCAGCACGTGTGGCCAGGTTTTGGCGGCAAAACATCGAATGCCCTCCAATGTTTATCCCTCGATTCTGCTTTTGCATTTGGAATGAAATTTTTTTACGTTTTGCAGTCGCCATAGGTTGGGGCGAAACATTTGCCGTGGGTGTTCTTGTGCGCCTGGTAATAGTGCTTCATAACGAACACTTTCCGACACACCTCGCACGTGTAGCTCGACTGTTTGTCGTGCGTCTTCTTGTGTTTGAGGAGGTTGTCGTTGCGCGAGAAGCACTTGTTGCAAATGTCGCACTCGTAGTTTCTGATACCCGAATGCAACGTCATGTGCCTGAGCAGGTGCTCCTTGCGCATGAACGACTTGCTGCACTGAGTACACTTGTAGGGCCTGAAGCCCGTGTGCAGTTTGATGTGCTGGTAGAGGTGTTCGCGGCGTTTGAAGCTTTTCAGACAAATGTCACAGGCGTGCGGTTTGACGACGTCCGTCGGTTCCTGTTTGTTGCTCTGATGGTCATTTTTTAAATCCGAATTGGCCACGGGCGGCGCCAAAGCTGGGGTTTGATGAATAACGTTCGAAAGGCTGGCGTAGGTGGTGGTTGTGTTGAAATCCGGATTCAACTGAGCCGTATCTAGTTCCGAGGTGTTGCATATCACGTTCGCTAGATTATTGTTTGCCGACATACTCTGCTGGGAGTATATGGCGCTCCCTTGGTACGAAGCGTAACCGTTTTGAAATTCGGATAGGGGAAAAATCACAGTCGGTGCCGCGTTAGAATTGAACTTCTGGGGCTGGGGCGTGCTCTTGATATGGGGCAGACCGTCCCGTTTCTCGCCGAACAATTCGCTCTCGTGCGTCAAGTCGATTTTGACGACGTTTTCGTCCGCCTCTTTGGACGGTTTCTTGCTTTTGTCGCACTTTTTGCCCTTCGAGGCGCTGTATGAAGCATCTAGATCGCATGGCTGCGTGATATTGATCACCTCCCCGTTAGAATTGACCAAAACGTTACTCAAAAGTTCCTTGGGTAGCTGCTGGACGGTGCTTTTGATAGCGGCGTTCAGCAGGTTCATGTTGTAAGCCATCTGTTGTTGAGAGCTTTGAAACTGTGGCGCTTGCTTTTCGGTTTTTAATTTCGTGGTGTTTGCGGCCGTGCTCGGTAACTGTACGGCGTAAAATTGTCCCTCCAAAGGGCTCGGCTTTAAGTTCAATACGTTTTGCGATGGGACCGTGCTTAAGTTTATGTTCGTGGATGACACTTCGGACGTGGTTGCTACTGTAGACACGGTATCCTTTATATAAACCTAAAAGCAAAATTTAAGAGTTAAATTTATCAACTAGTTATTGATGATTTTAACGAAGATGGCAACAAACATACAAATAATTTTTAAATCCTAAATGTAACCAGCACTTTGCAACTAAAGAAGTCAATGTATCTGAAATCTTATAGCTATTAGATAATAAAGTGCAAGTTATTGCAATTGTCGCAGAATACTGGCAGCCTGTGCCATTGTTGTTTCCATTTTTGGTGTTTGATGATTATCTCTGTAACTTTTTCCCATTTTTGCGAGAAAAATGCCTAGCCGCTGGAAAATTTGTTGTTTGCGGTCAAGACTGTACAGAAAAGGTTGTGCCTATACAGTGACTTGTGCCTTATGTCCAAGTTAATTTTAACTATTTAAAGGTGGTTTAGATAGAATTTCCATTCACAAAATTTTAAGCAACCTGGCAAACAGGGTACAAAGGGCAATAAGTGAAACGGATATTATACACACAGAGATACCACAGGGTATAGTACTAGGGCCGACACTTTTCAATCTATATATTAAAGGGCTCACGTTCAATATGAACTATTGTGAAGCCAAGAATGAAAGTCCTACATTTACAAATTTATTATTCTTTGTTTGAAATCATAGTTTGCTTGTTTTTCGTCATAGGATTAGTTGAATTTAGGTACTTAAGTTTGCTTATATAAGAGGCAGCCCATGGGGGTCCCTTAAAACCTAGTCTCAATAAAAATTTAAATGTAAGTAGATTTTATTTGAAATCAATGTCAAACTGAGTTAACAATGAAAATAAAGTAATGTTAAGGGGCCCTCACCTTTCCGGATTTTTTAAAGTCCTCCGTCTGTCTGAAATTTTTAAAATAACTGGATAGCATGGTTTCTGAAGTGACGCACTCCTCTCTAAACAAGTTACACACTTCCAACTGTTTGATGCACTTTGAGCACACGACTTTGGGCAAAAAATCATCCTCCTTCACCTAAAACGAAACTCCCATCAGCGATATCGGTCGCGGGCGAAAATCTCGGCCTTTTTACGGTTATCGATAGGCAACTTTTGATCTTGTTCTGTAGCTGAATTTTTTTCCCGTCTTCCCTGAATATGTGCGTGTGCGTCTTTTCTTTTTGGATGCTCTGGGCACACAAACGACACAATTCGTAAAAATTGACGCGTTTATAGCCAGACATCGTCTTCGTAAATTTTAATTTTTCATAATTAACGCGGTTTTTAGAATGTTTGCGGGTTGTTTACTTTTTTCGGGGTCTGTCAAAATTAGCTGATATTGACAGCGTGCAATTGCCAATTTTTCTTCACCTAATATTTTTTATTAAATATAATTTAACATTCCAGACGAGAATTAATACCGTTAACTAGTGTTTAATCCAACAATTTCGAACTGCGTAATATTCATAGAGAATTAATATCATAGCTTCTCAGAGGCCGTTTATTAGCTGCGCCATCTATTCTGAAAAGCAGTTTGAGAGTAGTTCAAATATTCCAGTTATTTGTCACAACAATAACAAAAAAACTTGGTCGTTCTAAAACGTTTTTGCTTTAGATGTGAAATTTAGGACAATGTCCGATTTGGTGGCGAAATGCGTTCTCCGCGTTGAAGTAAAGGAACAAGAAGGTGGGAACTAGATATTTTTGAATAGCAATTATCGAGCTTCTGAATATATTTTTTAGAAGCTAATACTCTGCAAGACCCTGACCGCAAACAAAAAGGCAGGGGACAGAGGAAAGCTCGCAACCTACGGGTCGAAACTTTTCCAAGTCGCTTGGAGAGTCCCAGGGAAGATTGGGGACTTCTGCCCGTGTGCTCTCGGGAACAAACCCCTGTTACAGAGAAAGATCCACAGGAAATAGCCCAGGAGCGTGGAGAAATAGGTTTTTTCAGTGGTAATCCGTTCGTTGAAATTACAAAGGGCATACTACACCTTTATAAAGAAGAGTGAGTTGGTTTATTTATGTACTAACTTTATTTTACATTAAAAAAAAAAGTAAAATGCAAAAGTTATGGTATTTTTTATATATAGGAGGTACCAAAAAAGGACAGTATATCAAAGTTATATATTTTTCTAAATTGGAAATGGTTTTATTTCATAAAAGGAAATATCTTTTTTGCGCTGATTTTTATTTATTTATTATATTAGGGCCTAAATTAGCCAAAAATAAAATCGTCACTTAGCGAATTGTCATAATGAAACAAAAGACGTGGCGTTGGCGTCAGGCTTATCGCTATTAGGTAATATGGTGGCCCTATTACAGTAAAATTTGATGGGCCATAAGCATCATTGACATTTTAACAATAATATAGTTAATAATAACAATTAATATTAAATCTACACATTACACCCTATATCTTTTGTATTAGACTTGTATCTTAATTAATTTGTTTTAGTGTATTAACAAGTCGCAAAGATGCTCTAACTCTATGTTTATTGGGAGTGCCATGTTCCATGACATGCCACGATATGTTAGCTTATACAGCACCTTGCCATGCTGATATTTCTCATATTCGAGTGTTAAGAGACTCATCACCCAACCAGTATATGTGCCTGCTGACGTAATAATCATTATCCTATGTAAGTGCCCATGTTCTTAGTATTGTTTTAGGTTTAGAAACCACGATGCTGCCGTGGAATTCTATTTAACCTACAACGGAACGCCATTTAGCACACTCGAACCTGACATACTATGCAGAATTGTGTGGGTGTCTCAAGTCGAATGGGCCCACGATGGTTCAGCTCCTCCCGGACATACAGAATTGCCCACGTGTCCAGTATGTCTGGAACGAATGGACGAGTCAGTGGACGGTGTGTTAACGATATTGTGTAACCACGCTTTCCATGCCAATTGTCTCGAACAATGGGGCGACCTGACGTGCCCCGTGTGTCGTTGCGTGCAAAGCCCTGAACAAGCGGAAACCTCCGAATGTGAGAGTTGCGGGAAGTCCGCACCATCTCCGGACGCATTATGGATTTGCTTGATTTGCGGTCACGTAGGTTGCGGGAGGTAATGAGATTTATTTCGATTTTTTTTTATTCCATATCCCCACCTCGTAGATATTTAGGTGGTCATGCGGCTTCCCATTATCGAGAATCAGGACATTGCTATGCTTTGCAACTTGGTTCCCACAGAGTGTGGGACTATAAAGGTAGGGTTGTTACTGGCTTTCATCTTTTATGCTGTGTTATTGTTTATAGGGGACAATTTTGTCCACCGACTTCTGCAAAATAAAGGTGATGGCAAGCTGGTGGAAGGGCCACCATCTGAGGCGGAACATGCACAGGAAAAGGTTGACTCTGTTCAGCTGGAATTCACATATTTGCTAACTTCTCAGTTGGATCAGCAAAGGATGTACTTTGAAAACAAACTATCAATGTAGGTTTGAAAACTTTGAGGTTCTTATATTCTGAGATGTGATTTTCCTAGGCTGGAAAGCCAGCTATTGGACGAAACTCATCACCTAAGGAACAAAATTGTCACGCTGTCTGACGAAAACAAGCAGCTGCGAACGAAACTTCACACGGCTACGAAAGAAAAACAAGCGCTTGAAAAGAAAATTCAGCAGCAAAATTCCAAGTAAGGTTTGGCGGTAGTGGGTTTAACTCTGATTATTTTATTTACTGGATTATGACGTCAGCAAGAAAAGTAGATTTTGGCGGCCTTTTCGCAAAATTCAGTGTTGTTTCCAGACTGACTTCAACTTTACAAGATTTGAGCGAAGAGAAACAGCTCGGGAAAGCGCTGAGGAACAATCAACAGCAATGGCAGACGAAAATGTCTAAATTAGAACAACAGTTCAATGAAATGAAGACGGTGAAAGATAATGAAGTGAAGGAGCTTCAGGAGCAAGTGCGAGATCTTATGTTTTTTATCAACGCGCAACAGGTGATCGAGAAATCGGGACAAAAAGAAGAGATAGCTGAAGGTTCAATAACGATAGGAGACCCTCCTGAAACGTCGAAAACTAAACGGGGACGGAGACGCAAATAACTTGTTACTCACTGATATTTACGTTTTTTCCGTTATCTTGATTTAAATGTGCGAATGCTACTAGAAGTATTTACTCAATAAATTATAGCGCATCATACCAATTAATCTCTGTTTATCCCATTTGTCACATTAGATAAACGTTTTTATTCTCAAACGTAGTAAATAAAAACAAAAATTAACAACACAAAGGGCACTGTACGGGCCCATCCCTTTAATTTGTTGAGCGACTATTAATTACGCTCTACGATAATAGTAGCCGTTACTTTTCTAAATTTTTTCCCGTGAAACTTCAATTTGATAAACAAACGGTTATATTTTTTTTAGCGCACCTCGTATACGCTGGTAGTTCAAACGTTCTACATCAGCTGTGCGCGTCACATGACGCGCGCACCGCTGCCAACAGTCGTGAAATGCCAAAACCGTAGAAAAATACACGGGTCGTGGTGGCGTCCGAATTTCCGGGTCGTTTTGCGTATTAAATCAAAAGGCCGGCATGGGCAACCAGCACGGGCTCCAGTCTATCAAATCGGGCTCTTCGACACCGAACTCGGTAGCTTCGTCGAACAACGGCTCGAGGAAGAGCATCTCGCGGACGGCCTCGGGCGACGACATCGAAGATTCGACGGAGAACCAGTTCTTGATGCCAGTCGAAAGGCTCGCCAAGGTGACTTGATTTGGTTTTCGGTTCGACTATAACGCCGTGCAATTCGCAAAGTTTTTGCGAAAAGAATTTGTTTTCAATTAAAGTGGGTTGGCAACGGTGCCTTTCGATTCAACCGCCATGTTTAAATTGGACGACGGGAAATGAGGGAAAAATATAAATACATTGCAATTTGTTTTGAATGTTTTTTTTTCAGGTCTTGTCGAAAAAGTCTCAAGCCGAAGAGAACGTCTCAAACGCGGTCACGAAGAGCGTGTTTTACGTTAGTATTTATGCTTGAAGTAATTTATCCCATTACTTTTGTTGGTCCCCATGTAGCACTACCTATTTCCGAGGTATCCGTTGCTGGCCGAGAAACTCTACGATTATTTTGTCCAAAATAGCAAGGCAAAATCTAGCCCGCTCAGCACTAACGAGTTCAAGCAGCAATGCGACAAGTATTTGACTGTGAGCAATTGTCTTTGACAGAAAAAAAAAATTCTAACGACTTTATGCAGCTTTTAGACGACCAAGCGATCAGGGACACTTTCGTATGCATGTGGTCTACCTTGGATGAAGAAAAAAACAATCTCTTAATAACCACAGAGTCTTTTCGCTCCCTACTTATGTGCGCGTACCATATAAGCATGGATCATTATTCGGACGGGCCGCAAATGTGCTTCTCTATCAACAAAACCTTGAAAGCCGTAGTCGACGGATGCTTTTATCAGAAAACCAGCCTATCCCACCAGTTCGTCAGCCACTGGCTGGAACACAACACTCCGAGACTGCTGTTGCCCTTACACAGGTTCGCGGTCCATGCGATAGCTACATCATGGCGAACCTTGGAACAAAATGAGCCCCCCACATCTGCCGGTAAGCATTGTCTGGCCAAATACTAATCGATTTCAGATCTCAACAGGTTTTCTTTTCATTATTTTTGCGTTCTTGTTATAGGCAGCATGTTGGACGAAATGCTATTGCCTACAGGTAAAAATAAATCGTTTACCGGTATTTTATGTGTTTTATAAGCCTAGCTTAACTAATCTCTCGCGATACTATTTTGGTTTTGTTCCTTGGGCCACAAGTAGGTAGATGATTAAACTTTTAACGCGTTGACATTGCTTTTAATTTAATCGGAGATAAAATGGAAACTATATTTGCCTATCTGTGTAACCTTTCTTCATTTCCATCTTTTTAACTCGCAGACACCTATCGTTTTTCTTTAAACTTTCTGCAAAGTTATGTCGCATTCTGTTACGGCAGTGACGATCGATTTTGGTTTTCGAAAATTTTTTGCTATTTTCAGACGCTGTTGCCATTTACTATTATTTACTTCGGATCGGCCTTTTTGCTATGAATTTACCATACCTGCATTTTGCGTCATTTTCTTATTAAACAGCGATTTCCTTGTATGAACCTTAACTTGTATTTTCTCATACATTTAATTATCCTACTAATGCCAACACGACACAAAAATTAAAGCTGCCGAATTGACGAACTGTCAGTGGGTATGTTGGTTGTTAAACACCACTAGGTTTTTATTGATTGAAAACGAGAGTATGTCTGCGCCTGCGCATATTTTGCAAAATTTATTAAAAGTTAAAAGATTAAACTGTTATTTCACGTTCCTTTCACTATGTGTTTTGTGAAAATTGAGTTCTATATAGTTTAGAAACACTTTTAAAACACATCCAAGGGATGAACAGAAGCCAAGAAAATCGTAAAATAAAAGCATGAGGAAAATACCGAATTGTTGTAATTTCTTTAATTTATATTTGCTTAGACTAATCTACCATAACGGGCAAATAGGCGCTTTGGGATGACGGCTTGTCATATTTATGAATAACTTAAATATAACCTCTCCAATTCCGATAGATAGTGATGACGTCATAGTAATGGTATGTCAAATATATAACCAGCCGTTTGGGTTTCTTTATTTTTAATTTTTGTTTATAGCTTTTTAAAACTAAATAAATATTGCACAGAACGTAACTTAACATTTTTAGTAAGTACTTCCATCTATTGGGAGGTTTATGACTTCAAAAAAAAACTGTTTCTTTTTGTCGATGATCAATTTGCCAGTTAAGGGAAGCAAATTACCTTGGATAATTTAGCAACGGGCCACCATACTTAACTACTTCCTTTTGGTAGGCCCCCATTATACAAATGACAAATGACTAACTAAATTTTCCTAGAAAAATGTTTATTAAGATCATTCGATTAAAAGTGTATTTGGTCCAGCCTATAAAGTTCGCCACTGTAAATTAAGTTAAAAACTAAATAAATAAAATTATTTGTTTCTCAAAGAGAATCGGAATTGTCACGCGAAGTCAGTAACTTCAAGTACTTGTCGCCCAAGGTATGTTCGACAAAGTCCTATTCTTATTGTTTTTATTTAGTTGCCGAAACTGTTATGTGCATTTCAAATTATTTTGTTGTTTAATATGTCGCTTATGCCTTGTAACCAGATACCTTCGCTTCCATAAGCTCTTTTTATATGTTGTCCGTATCAAATTTCTCGCCCTTTGTCCAAGAAATAATCATTACGACTGGGATTTTTTTTTATTTATTACGTTCCAACTAACAGTTTTCGCAGTTTAAGGTTTTATTATGATATTCAATAGAGGTCTATAAAAACATTAGCTTTTACTCCTACAACAGATTTAATATTTTTATAATTTAATTTTAATATAGATTTAATATTTTTATAAAACAACCTTATGTTTTATTGAAAGAAACGATATTGCTATAAGACACCTAGGTTTCATAGAAGTTTCCCAGGTGTTTAAAAAGTGAACCTGATGAACACGGTGTATGTTATGGGCATTGGAATTTCAAATTAAGATAATAGGTAGATAATACTACGGTGGACATTTGAACCACTGTGTAGTACATTGAAACATAACCTGACTATAATTCTTTTCAATTGCAATGTTTCTTTAAATTGTTGTCCTAGGTCTAAAATGAAAAAAAAAAGTTAATGCAAAATTCAAGAGAAAAGATTAATTCAATTTTATTTTTATTTTTTGAAGTCGTGTCTGTTTTTAGGCAAAATGCGGCTAAGACGAAGTGTAATTAAGAAACTGATATATATTGCTAGCAATGAACATACCAGGTGGATTATAGAACGAGGGCAAGTTTTTTTGCATGATGAAACTTCAACTCTCGAAAATATTCTTGAAATATAACCGTTTGCCTTCAAACAAAACAAGCAGCCTGTCAATGTAGTGAACACACTTTCTTAAACTTTTTCCACATTTTCTTTCCTATAGGAATTTTTGTTTTTCTTCTTTTAATGAATGCTTTTTGAAATTTGACTACTACTTGAGTTGACTTGACTACTTTTTGACTACTTTCTGGTGGAAAAAATTAAAGCATAGTCCTTTCTGAATAATTTTCGCCACAATTAGATTGAAATAAAATAAATAGTTCTGAAAAATGAGTTTTTTTTAGCACACAAGTTGCACAACGTCAACTACAACACTAATAAATCAATGATCTCAATTGTCCGCCGAATGGATTAACATTTGAACACCAGGTGGCTTCCGGCTTAACTTCAAATCTCAATTTTATCTTTAATTTAATTGCAAAAAAATTTAACATAATTTAAAATTTTCTGTGGTCACCAAAATTACACTTTAAAGCGCTTCAGTTTTAAGAAGGCTGAAATGTAAAATTATTGCGAGCTGTAATATTTATCAAGACATTTTCATAATAATGATCAAAGTGAAAATCTATCTAAGCAAAGTCGCGTTGACGAGGACGCCAAACAATATGGGAAAAGATGAAGCGTGAAGGGCATTGTTTGACGCTTACAACCAATGCAGGTCGGTTTTATAGCGATAATGAAATGTATTACTTACTAGTTTTATATGGACTAAAAATTGGTCACTGTTTTTTTTTTAAATTTACTGTGTTATTTGACCCTGCAACTTGGGCAATTTGACAAGTCTACGAATATTGGTAAATGTAGTTCAAAATTCCTAAATGATGCCTTTTTAATGGAAGGGTCTGGACTATTCCATCATCCTCCAGGTTTGTTAACAGTAGAACAACTTCTAAGTAAATAGTCATAGAATGACGACGGATTCTTCCTACGGCTCCTGCAATTATCTCATACGGGATATCCGTTACCATTTGGCCTGGTTACCAGCGTGAATACAAAGCATCCGGAAACCGTATGAAGAAATATATACATAACGAAATAACATATTACAAATCCATATACATCCGCTTACGACAAACACTATTTCCCAAATTTATAGGCACTGCGCCTCTATCAATTTAGATAACAAATATACACTATTTAATATCAAACGACACTAAATTCAACAGATTTCTACATTTTATGGGACCGGGCAGGAACAATAAGATATTCCATTTAAGTGTTCTGGTTTGGTGATCAATTGATACGTCCTCAGGTTTTATGAAATCTAAAAGTAACCGTTAATATTATAAAGCGAAAAATGTTAGTTGGGCGTCCAGTTTGTAGTCTTAGGATCTTCAGTATTAATCATTCTCCAATAATTTTACCATATTTTCCGTGAGTTTAATATTTACGTGTTTCCAAGGTTTGGAACTGGCCACGCCCGTGTTGGAACAAGTCGCGGGGCCGTTTGGCCAAGGCAAACCGCTTCACCCGCACCTGCTCACGATGAGCATGTCTTGGCTATTGGCCGGCGCCCTGCCCCCGATGTATTCGCGGCCCCAGAAAGCTCACTCGCCGAGCAGTAGCGGCACGGGCTTGTCTAGCAAATCGTTTCTGTCGAAGATAGCGTGCGCCATCCCGTCCCACTGGACGCTACTGTACGATTCGGACGAGCAGGGTCTGGGCGCCAATCGGTTCTTGCATCACGTGCTCAACTACAAGGGCCCCACGCTGGTCATATTCCGCGTGGAAAACAACCAGAAGTTTTGTGTAGCCGCGCCTTGCGAGTGGAAAGAGTCACACCACTATTGGGGCGGGGAAGACGCCGCCATTTTTCAACTGCTGCCCAAGTAAGATGGCCGGCTGGAGACCGCGCGTCGCGCGTACTTACCGTGTATTGTTTAGGTTTCAGTTGTTGGAAAAGGGCTCGAAAATATTGTACCTTAACACGACGGTGAGGGGTTACCCCCAAGGGCTTAGGGCCGGGTCCGATCCGAGAGCCCCCAAAATTATAGTCGACGCCGGTTTTGAAAAAGTTTGTATCGTTTTTTATATATACAAAACTTCTGGATTCCTCCTGCTTCAGTTGTTGTTGAATCGAACTTGATGACGTTTCTCCAATCATCCTGTTGGCTTCTTCTTAACTGAAACTGGCTCGCTGTTTCTCTTTGAGGGGGGCTAAAGGAGTGGCATGAACATTGTCTCGGATGAATGATTGATGAATGATATTGGTGAAAGGTAAAGACCTAAGTCGCGGCTGAGATTGGAATCAGGCATTCAAGGCAATGTTCATGCCGCTCCTTTAGCTCCGCCCCCTCAAACAATATATAAGCAATTACTCAGTAGAATGCGAACCAATTTCAGTTAAGTTCTCAAGAAACCAATTGGCGAAACGTCAAGAAGTTTGATTCAAAAACAACCTACGCAAGAAGAGTCCAGAAGTTTTGTAAATAGTATTACAGTAGCCCGTGGAAGTTTTTTTGAAAAAATATATACAGGGTGTAATTGAAAGGATATCTTATAAATGGTAACAATACTCGTAAGGGTTGCTGCCTGGTATTGCGTTGAAATCTCGTATAAACATCGCGCCACTGGATCTTTCAGCTAGGTGAAATAGCCACAGTCGTGATGACTTATTATTTTGTATGTTAACAATACAAAGAGTTTTCGGTTAATTTTCAAGACGAACAGTGCTCATCTCATAAATTTAAAACTCCAAAAAAAATTTTTTTTGGTATTAACGTTGGCAAGATTTGAGTGCCAATAGTCTATTACATCCAATTAAGTAAATAGGTTTATTTAGCGCATGGCTAGTTTTATACATACATCACTACAAATATATTTAAAAAATGCCACTAAATACATGTAAATATAGCACGGCTATCTTCTTTGTAAATAATATTTCTTTCGCTTTCTTACAAACAATTTGATATTACTCGTTTAGTTCATTTGGAAGAGCATTGAAAAGACGAACACCATTTCGAAACAAATGTTGTTGCATAGAAGCTGTCCCCTCAAACTCCAGATAGAAACTGTTGTTTGATGTAACATTATGACTATGCTTTTCACTTCTTTGGGTCAAGTAGTTTTGAAGATGTGGCGATATTAAATCATTTTTTATTTTATAAATTATGATAATTAAATCGTAAATCGATATGGGTGCATATCGACTACAACAAAGAACGACCCGCATTGCCTTGTTCTACAACAACTGTAACCTATGCACCTCCTCTCCAATACTATTATATAACAATAACCTAGAGCAGTGTCTCAACCCCTGACATATTCTGTAAAGAAATCCAATCTTTTTACCAATTTTCTTACATAAAAAGTCAATATGAAAAAAAAAGTTGATTACGCGATCGTATTGTTTTGTTTACTCACACTAGCAAGGTTTCCCGATTAATTATTAGCGGGCACATTGCTAATCACATAAATTGAAACCGCAAAAATATAATCGGTTTCATTATTAACACGTTAAACTGTTTCCATTAATTTTGAATAAATTCGAACAGCGAAAACGGTCTAATCCACTACACTGACCATCAAATTAAAACGCTATTAGTTCGTCAATAGTCAAATCATTCCAAATTACGATAGGAAAGACTCGTGTCAGATCAATTTCCAGTGTTAACCGTCTTTGGCCATTCTGTCAGCCTTTCTTTTTAATCCCATCGTTCCTGCCATATTTCTAGCAAGTGTTGTCTTTCTTATTTTTCCCGTTTTTTAACGCATTGTTTCCTTTTCTTCGGCAATTATATCTTCTGGTGGTGTGCGAGTTATTACCATAAGTGCTTTTGTCCATACTATGCGGTACCAGGTTGTAATATGTTTGTAGCATTCTTTTATTTGCCCTGTTCTATATTATCGCTCCATAGAATTCAACTGATTTTACTGTGAGTTGTCTTTTGGACCTCCAGTTTTAGGCATTAATCTGTTGAGTTTTCCTGTGACCTTGCCCGCCTTTTCTATGATCTTTTTGAAGTGACTGTGCATGGTTATATTTCTATCTAAATATACTCCTCTAAGTATTTGATAGTATCTTAACATCGCCAGTTTAACGTTTGGTCATATTTTTTTTTCCTGCACTAACTACGAAAACTTCCAGTTCATTCTAGATTAGACTGCATTAGTAACCAATAACATTATATTGTTTTAAATTTTGATCGAAATAAAATAATCTAAAACAATTTTTGATTCACACACATATCGTCAAATTTTTTGTTATTAATTAATTGAATCGATCCAGCTTGTAAAAAAAAAAACATAACTCGAGCCATAACAAGACACATAAACGGTATATTTGGTTAGTTTTGTGCTATAACCATGTACCATATTAAGTAACCTAAATAGATTCTGCAGTGAATTTATCTAAATTTATGCAATACCTGCCCCAAATATGTTCCAATCATTTGGAAACGTGTGCGGTTGCGGTCATAGTTGTCTTATTCGTGTGGGTAAGGTTAGGATAACCTTTTTTGATCCGATTTGAATCGAACAAAATATCTATTCTGCATCACGGTGCGGTGTCAGTTCGCTAGTGAGGTTTTTCAATGTCAGTAGAATAACACCCTGTATATTCCCTTTGGCGGAATTGTTATAGTTATGCATCCATTTAGATCGAGTGGCAGAAAATTCCATTTTATATTGAAACAATCGAAGTGTGGGGTTGCGGAGACAACGTGCAACGCGAGAAACAGTTGGAGGTGAAAAAGTGGGAGGTGAAGGAGGCGGAAAAGCAAAGAGCGGTCAAATTGAGCGCTGCCGATTGGCTGGACCATCCCGATAGGTAAGCGTTATTCTGACGGAGTATTCGGATATTGACCGTAAGTCCTAGGTATCTGTTGGAGCTCGCCGGACGACCTCAGTATCATCAGAATCAGACCTAGCCCGAGGTTTAGACTCTAATGCCATGTACACGAGTCCGAAATTACTTAATTTATTGATATTACATATTAAAATAGCAAACATATGCTTAATATCAAGTAAACATTAGGGTTTTACGTTACTTAACGAGATAGCGCTGTGACTTAAGAATTTTTACTGAAAGCGACAGCATTTATGACGTTTTCAATATACGCCGAGACTTTGGAAAAGGGAAAACGATTTTGGTTGGTTGGGAAAATAATGATGCTCTGCATTACAATTAAATGAAAATTTGGATAATACTTAAATTTACAGAATGTAAGAACCAAACTTAGGGATAAGTGAATGTTGAAATATTTCTATTTTCTCTATCTCTCTGCCTTCTGTCTAAACATGATTGTGTTAAAATTATTATCAGACAATTATGACGCACAGGACTCAAAATTTTGTCGCTCAAAAAATATAGCACCCTTTTTCTTTGTTGTAGTTCTCTGATTTGAAACAGACCTTCAATTTTTGAATCTACCAAAAAGATCGTTTATTATTTGAATTAGGACCAAGTGCTTTACGAATTTTTTTTTTTTCGTCTTTCGGTACATGTGAACTATGAATTTTTTACAGTTTAGTGATTTTGCGGGAGGGGGATCGCTCAAAATGTGCCAAAGTTTAAATTTGAACTGATTTAAGTTTTTTTTTTCTAAGTTACAAGAGGCCTTGCAATTCTGTGCCTTGGATAAAAATGCAGACACCACTTTATTTGCCACTCTCTAGTCTTTAAATCGTGTTCGTAAAAGCTTGTCATAACTGAAAATAAACCACACTGTAGCAATTAGTTTTGTTTACTAAACTGCCTTTCACATCAGTATTAACATACCTTACCTTAAACTTCCCTATCATAATCAAACTCAAATACAAAAAACTTATATATTTACACTTTTTTAGTACAATGCTGTTTATATACTTTTTGGATAGCATCCAAAGCGGCCATGTCTTTGGCGGTTTTTATATTTTCGCCCCAACCTACGAAAATATAGGTAAAACTAATTTCCACGGCAAATTTCACTTACCTATTCCGAGTAGCTTCTTATCGCTATACAGACCGACCTGATAATTCGCCAAAATTGTATTGGTGGCTGACTGGTTGCATAACCTAGGTTCCACTTCTTTAATTCCTTTACCTTGCAAGATGTTAAGGAGGTAGTCGAATGGGTTTTCTGGACTCCAGATATCAAATAGATCTTTTCCATTCATCTGAGATAATAAAAAGTCATTGACAAAAAAATTAGCCCTCTCCAGGCTTTGAGATTGCTTCAAAGCAGCTACAACGGCTTTAAATGTATCTGACATAGTCTGATTTTCTGGAGGATACTCCTAAAAATATGAAACGGCTCACTTAACATAAAACAAAAATGCAATTTTATAAACCTTGGCTAAGATAAGGTCTTTTAGCCCTAAATGCCTCGCTACATGGGACAACATCTCTTTACTCATTAAATACTTTTGTACCGCTTTAACAACATCTTCAGGGTACAATTTTGAGTATTCTTCCGCAATATATGTAGAGATAATGCTTTCTCCCTCTTTTACTAGGTCATGATTGTGAACTGCCTCTGATATTTCTCCTAAACAAAAAAGATATTTACAAACTTCAATTAATTCCATATATTTTACCTTTTTCTTTCTGATTAAACTCCAGCAAATTTGCGTACTCTGTTTGGATGAGGGCGCGTTTTAAAATGTCCCGTTTAAAATCTTCCCCCAATCGTTTACCAAAAGCAAACAGTTCCGCTTCATAATTCCATTCCAAATAAGAAGATCGCGGTTTTTCGGGCTGAACTCCGACCTGAGACTGCCTTCGCTTTAATTCCTTTAAAGTTGGAGCCACCCATCTTTTAATAGTTCGCTGATCTAAAAGAGAGTTGGTTTACGTCCCGATTATAAGCAGAAAAAAATAATTACTAGGCGCCCGTGTCAGGGCTCCGCTGGGGACAAATAGCAATCCACTTGCGAACGTAAAAGAATGTTTCCAAAAGCTCATTTTATTATAAAATGTCTTGCAGTGATTGGTTGGTTATGTCCCATTTGTTTTACTATTGGACACATTGCCAAAATCATTCGACCAAATGTAATAACAAAGATCTTTTCTACTCCTTTATTAACACTGGGCACAGAAGCATAAAGCAATAGCCCAGTTTTTGTAATCAATGATTATCGGATGGTACTCTTTCTTCTTTGTTATCGCAAGATGTTTTAACAAACAAAAGCTTTACGTATTAGGTGTGTGCATCATATAAATCCATTCCCAATTAAAATGTATTGTGACTGCGGTTCCCTTTAAGTACAAGTTTCGTTTTTTTTTTGCGGCTTTACGTTTAGGATAAAAAACACTGGCCAGTGACAACGTGTGATCGGAAGTTGTCGCGTGAGTAGTACGTTTGTGATCAAACACCAATCATGAGTGAACAATCGTCGTGCCATTGCCTTGGATTTGTTTCTTGAGATGAGATGTCTATGATCAATTTGCGGAGAGGTAAACAGCGGTTTGCTAAGTTTTTCTTTTAATTTATTTAGTTTTATTGACAAAGTACGTCTGTTATTTATTATTCATAACCTATAGGAAGTGGCTTAGCGTTTCCTTATTATAATTAAGACTTCCAATAACATGCTTAAAATTTAAATTACGATAGCTTCGAACAAATTACTCATAATCGAGTTCCAGGCATCGATTCATCTATAAATGTATGTTAATGACGTCGCGGTCGTAGCAGAAGGATTTTTACCGTCGATCATTAATACATAATCGATTACCCAATCGCGTTATGTATGCCGTTAAATTCGTCTACAACCGAAAGGAAGAAAGTGAGTACTCAAATTAAAATACTCTTTCGGCCGTTTGTTGACCCGTCGTCCAACTTTCGATTTTTCGCCGCAAGGCATGTTTCGTTATGTTGGGTTTATTTTCTATTTGATTGTTAGTTAATGTTGGCGAGTTGCATAATGCGACACAATGCAGGGTTTGGCATTTAAATCAAAAGAAACTAAGTATCCAACTTTTATTTAAAAAAACATTATAGCCTTTTCATATAAACTAAAAACTGTCAAACTAACAAACTGTCAGCGGCCATGTTAATTGTTGAAAGCCGTAATGTCTGGTCGATGGCACGGAATAATACAACCTCACAGAAGCGGAATCATGCCTTTGATATTAAGAGACCAATTTTTAAAGGTCGGAAATGGTACCGTTTTCGGTTATTACACTGAGAGAAAGTTATGAGTTACGCTGCAGGTACCCTGAAAACGTATTTGGTGGTAATTCGAATGCCAATACCAGTGACCTAGTTTTGGTTAGTTAGTTATCTTTAAAAAATCAAGAAAAAGTAAAACCAGAATACCATGAGTGAATAGTGATTAATAAAACCAAAAATTACACACATCGATTTTTCTGTTTTTTATTTTCATTTCTATATTTTATTTATTGTCTTTCCATTTGTGTACTTTATAAAATGAAAAATTCCTAGCCTAATAAATAGTTTTATAACATACGCCAAAAGAAAATTGGGACACGAATGAAAAATAAATGTGAGATTTCGGACAACTAGAAAAGAAATTTATTATATTGTTTTATTTTTATAATTTTATTGTATTTATTGTCTACTTGTATATGGTGGCCCAAAATTAGTAAGTCTAGCTGTAATAATATATTCTACTTCTAAAGTAGGCACTACTGTTTTTATTTTCCTATATAAACATGTGTCGAGAATTTGGGCATGCTGAATCTGATTCTAAAATTATAAATGTCAAATTTTGGTTAGTTTTGGCTAACTTGTGACAACTAACGAGAACTGCTATAACTTTTTTTAGGTTGACTTTTACACTTTTTTTTCTAATAAAATCGGAAAACTTGTGTTCTGCTACGAGAAGAAGATACGATTTATTAATATCGCTAGGAAAATGGATTTCAAAAATACACTGCTCATCTAGTATGGTGTTTTTTGTTCGCATTGTCTCTTTTTTTTTAATTCGTTTTTTTATAAGCATTTTCGAACAGAGAAGTGGCAGATATTCATTTTATTTATTGCAATTTTCTATTATTTTATTTATTTATCATTATTTATTTTATTGCAATGTTAACACGCTTGTCGTTAAAGGGGAGTTCAAAATAGAAATCTAGCACAACGTGGATCATTTAATCGCTCTCAGTGGCAAGGAAGGCGGGCCAAGGAGCCCTAAACAGAATGAAGGAAAATCCTCAAATAGCATTTACACTCTGATAAACCCCCTAAAACAATTGTTAGGATATAATGTTTCAATCTCTTCAGATCGACATTTGTCAATAAATTACTATGAAAAGAAAAAGTTTAACCGTTATTTTCCAGTTTTGTGACATAAATTTTTTGGCATCGTAGAATGACCCAAATCCCATTAGCTAAAAGTACAGAATTTAAGACCCGAAGACTTTCCAAATCGTTTAGAATTTTGTCAGTAGAATCTCAATTAACAAGATATTTTTGCCAAAATTTCATTTTCAAAAGATAAAGCTTTTTATACTCGCAACGCGCATTCCTTGAATAATGAGAACCCTTGGATTCTCGAGGAATCAACTTTCAAAAATAGTTTTCTATCAATTTTTGGGTAGGTATAGGTAATACTTAATAATAGGTTTCTTTTTTGTTTTGCCAAATAGATTATTTAATCTATGCTTACTTAAATTTTCGTATAACAAATGATAACGAATTGAGAATATTCTAATACTTACTCGTTTGGAGATGTTCTTTCAGCATGATGAGCACCCGCTCACTTTGGGCAGAGTTAGATGAAAAACTTGTCTTTATAACTGTTCTGGTAGGACCAAGATGATGAGCACATATTCTCCTTTTGGCTCCTTTAGGCCAAGGCTCAGGCTTGGTACCATTGAGAGTCGGCTTACAACTTAAGCCAAATTACGATTTTATTATTATTTTGCAAAAAAATCTTTACTACTTTGGAGAGACATCATCAAATCAAACCTCCAAAAAATGAACATCCGTTTTAATCATAAGACGACAGGGCCATTTTAGAAAAAAGGTTTACGGATGATTATTTTTTAAACTCAATTTTATGGAACCGCAACCGTTGATCATTGGGATTTTTCCGGTTTAACGGATAATAAATGCCGTAACAACGTATGTGGGTTCTGTGTTTCGCGGTTAGGTTCAATTACAGTCGTCAGCGATGCCATCGACCTCAAAATACTTGCGGCTTTCATCCTTTTTTCCTTTTTACGTGAAAGTAGCCGCAACGTTGGTGTAGCTGGTTCCGTTTTTCGCCCGACCGAGGATGTAACGGTACTTGCGAATGAAGCGGCGGTAGGTTAAGGTTGGCGTGTTGACAGTGACATACGCGCGGTTTTTGCAAAATTCCCGATGAGTTCGTCTACAGACTCGGCGGTCGGCTTAAAGAAAAGCAAATACTTACAAACCCGGGCGGATCTGCTAAGGCACAAAATGGCGCCAAAATTGTCGAACGCCAAAACGAATCTGGGCGGCGCTTTAGCCCAACTGCTCTTCGAAAGTTGCGAGGATGCTTTAAAGGAAGATTTCGGTCTCGCCCGACCTCTGCGAGGTCCGGGCGATAATCTGTGGGTCTCCCCTAGCGACCTCCTCATTGGAAAGCTCGCGTTAAAGCCTCCGTTTACGCCGAAATGCCTCCAGGCACTTACCCACAGAGGCATCCTCCAGATCGGCAAAGAGTTGGAGGACAGAACCGCGCACCAAGCCGAAATGGAAAAGGAAAAGGCGTTGGAGAAATACAGGGACGAATTGCTGAAAACCATGGAAGAAACACTGAAGAGTACCATTAAAGATGTGGAAGTAAGGGAGAGGTTGAACTGCAGCATGTTAATGGAGAGGCAGAACCAGGAGTTTGAAATTAAACTAAGAGCCGAACTGGAATCATTGCAGAAGAAACTTGACCAACAACATATCAAGACGAGCAAACATCGCGAGGAGGATTTAAAGATCGATTTCAACCGTCGTTTGGAGAGGGAGATCGAATCTACGGTGCGCCATTTGGCCAAAGTATTTATTGCGCAGTTAGACGAGCAAGAAAAACGTCTCGTCCATAGGTTCCAGCTAGAAGTGACGGAAAAGGAGACGCTCCGTCAGTGCGATTTAAAAAACCAGGAAAAGAAAACCGTCCAAGCGCTGAAATTGCTCCGGCATAAATTGGAATGCACCAATTTGGTGAACATGATGTACGTGCTGTGTTCGGAGCGGGAGAAGTGCTGTAAACAGAAGAGGGAAATCGAAGATTTCTATAGACGTGAAGGGGAAGAGTTGAGAAATCTTTTGGTGTCCAAAGACGAACGAATTGCTAAACTCGCGAAAGCAAAGGCACAGAAGAGCAGAGAAGTGGAAGTCCGAGATGCTTCGCTGCTTGAAATTCTAAAGCAGTTCCAGAAATTTATCAATTTTGCACTGAAATCGGCTCCCAAGCAATCGGAGTTTTTGCTCTCCGTCGAGAAGATGGTCAATTTCAGCTCGTTTAAAGATATCGGTGAAACGAGAGCTTGTAAATCGAGCGACGACGATTTGAGGTTGTCTAAGCCCAAATCGTCAAACGCTCACTCGGTGAATCAAGATCACCAATTCAAGACGTACGTCAGGGAGAATTTCGAGAACTTGCCCTTCACCTGTCCTGGAATTAGACCAAGCAACGATTTGTGGAACCAAGATGTGGAGGTGTTGCTGGAGAACTTGAGGTGGATGGTGTCGGACGATCAGCTCTCTGAAAAACGTAGCAACGACGACCATATCACACAGTATCCCCGACAAAGACGGTCGACCGTACATTTCGGGAGTTCGGACGAACAAACGGCCGAAGATAGGCCGCCCAAAGAGATGAAACGACGGTCATCTTTAAAGCCGTCCACGAAATTTGAGGTCGTTCGTGAGGAATACGAACACGTCATCCAACGGCCCGTAAGAGTCGCGAAGATCTTAGCCGCCAGGGACTCTCTGGAGTTGCTCAAAGAGCGATTAGTCGCGGCGAAGGAGGAAGGAGAAGATGAAGCCGATGGTCAACTGAAAACTCTGAAGAATTCCGAGCTAGGCGAGCGCGAGTCTAGCAGAAACCTGGCGGTCGAAGCGAGAGACTCTATAATATTGCGCAAGGCGTCTCTGGTTAAAAGAACGGGCAGCACCGAGTTTAGAGTGACTCCCAAGGACTCGATAGAAGTGAGAAAGGATAATTTAAACAGGAACAATTTGGACAGGAGAAGTTCGAAACTGGTGACGGCCAGGGATTCGGTAGAAATGATCAGGGAGTCGCTGGCGAAGCTGAAAGTACCGTCTCCTATTTGTCGCAAGAAGGATCAGTCCGTGCAAAGTTTTCAAACGACCACGTCATGTTGTCACAGGTGTCGAAAGCTCGAAGAGGCTTTCTCTATCACGCACAGCGACATCGAGAGGGAAATCAAGGCGTCCAGGGGGTCGTTAGACGAACGGTCGGTGAAGGTGTCCCATATCGAAGTAATCGATCGGGATCCATCGATAACCGCCCAGTCGGTGGTGTCGTTTCATCCGAAACTCGAGGTGTTTGAAGAAAAGCCAGTCGGGAATAAAGAGGACCCCTTGCCTAAGGAAGTTAAGAAGAGATCTACGCACGCGACTAAGACGGAGGTGGTGGGCGACGAAGAATGCAGAGCGGGTCAGCAGTCTGCGGAAGAATTCACCGAAGATCGAATTCGATCCCTTATCGATATAATGAAGCAGCATCCTCATTTGATGGCCATGTTTACCGCTTGCAGAAGGTGACGTTTAACTAAATACACTCCTTTCGGATATGTTTTTCTTTCTCATGCGATCGGTGCCCTGCAAACGCGCGCCACTGGCCACAGAAACAAGGGTACGCGCAGCCTCGAGACGTTAATGCATTTTATAATGCGTTTCACCTCAATAACAACTGCAGATTGTTTATCGATGTCCGGTGAAGGCAACACCGATAAATCCAGTTTGAATTTATATTCACGCAACGCATTCGACCAATTAATATCTAGGTACGATATTGGACAAAAGTGAAGCAATTATTAAAAATTGAAAATTAAACGAATTACTGTGGAAATGATCATGCATTTTGGAGAGTTTATTAGGCTAGTATAATGACAGGGTCTTCAAAATTATCGTCAAATCTTTAATTTTATCAATTAAAAGAAATTTGAGAATCCTGTAACTCAAATTTAACATTTCACTTCTTCCCAAAGGTTCTCAATGAGATTAAGGTCCGGTACCGTTAACATAATTTTCCGATGGTGTATACTCGAGCGTGCCACGATGCAAAATAAAAACCAACATCGATTGTTATTTCAAAACCAGAACCCGCCAACTCTTCCTCAAAACAAATCATATCCGCCAGTCTTCATCAGGTTCTTAAGCAAAATCTTAAACAAGAAGGTGGTGTAAGCTTTAACAGGATAACGTCAGTAATAATAATAATAATAATAATAATAATAATAATAAAACCGGACAAAAATAACGAACACAATCGATTTACTTGAATTTTCGGCCTTGAATCGTTAGTGGATCACTGAACTCGGACGTTCGCTGCAAACATAGTAGTTGGCCAATGACATTTGGACATTATGACACTGCGGTTGACGATATTAGCCGACCTCGAGGTGATCGCCGACCGAGTTGACTTTTAATTAATATGGCTTAATATATAGGATTGTTTTATGCTGATACTGCATTACTGCCTAACGATGCGGAAAACAGGAGCACGCAATAGAGAGTTTTTAGAAAAGAAATCGGACAGTTCTCGCTAAATATTTCAATAATTAAACGAAAATACGCAATGGAACAAAATTGCTTATTTAACCTCAAAGGTAAACAAGAAGAAAGGGTTAACTCGCGTTCTTCTTCTTTGGGTCTTATTCGTCACCACGGCTAAGATCATTCTCCCAAAACCAACCCAGAACACCTTCTTTTAGCTATAACTCGACGGTGACTGATTACTGACTTATTCGGCATTCAAGGGATAAGACATCCCTTCATTTCTCACGGATTCCTATAGATACGAAAGTACGTATTGCCAGATCTCTCATAGGGGAGTGGGAGTAAATTGAATAGTTTTTTTCTACTCCCTTCCGTATAATATCCAATTATACGCCATTCTAGCATACGGAAAGGGTCATTTTATCACGTCACTTTCGTTTTCTATAGCTGCGAGCCATTTCGGACATTTTCGGAATATTAGCACGCACCGGTTTCGGAGTAATGGGATGTTTTCGCAGATATTACCCACAGCTTGAATTTTGACGCTTGTCAATTCTAACGAGTATGGTACTGACTATTTTCGTGTTGTGTAAAAACGTACCCAACAACAAATGGTGGTAGAAAAACAAGTTTGGTAAACTTTTTAAATCAAATGCCGTTTACCCCACTTGTTACATAATATACTATTTTAGCTAGCTTTTATGGGTTATTGACCCAGTGGATCGGACAATCAAACAACACATGAGTCAGGTCGCTAAATTAACCACAATCACAATTTTCCGTTTCATGGGCCCCATGTCATACCCCAAGCTTTCCAAATGTTTCTCTTAAGTTGTGAGAAGAACTAACCGACCAGAGTTAGGCAGTTAGTCTGCGATTTCATTTGACTTAATCCATGTGTTACTCAGTATCCGACACAGGTAGATATGCTTATTTTGAAGTGATAACCTTGCTTTGTGTTGTAGTGCACTTTTTTTTTATTTACTCCTAAACCAACAGCATAAATCTCCGCCGTAACATGCGTGAAAAACAGCAAAAGTCTCCTCATCATTCTTCTCTCTTAACTCTGGTGAAAAATTCCTTAGCAATTGTCATGATCTTTAGTCAGCTGCAGACCATGAAGAAGAACTGAAGTCACAAGTCGAGGATGGTGGGCTTAATAATTTCGAAAGCTTTCTACTAGGAGAGGAATAATTTTTGTTAATACGACAACGGTAATTTTGACAACTAATAAACTTGCGTGCATAGAAATCAACTCAGAGAAGAAAATATGCTGTTTAAAAGACAATTTAATATGCTTTAATGCCAGTTTATATAACTTTTTACTAAAATAACTGCATGAGTCAAATTAACTCTTTTTTTAATTAATAAAAATAAATAGAGTTATTGACAAACTTATTTTTTAATAATGGGTAAGACTATGATTAGGGATAGACCTAATCAAGTTCGCTTCTGTTTCTTATGGAATGTTAAGCCACTCTTCCTCTATTGCAACAATAAGCTCTGGGATCGAGGTTGGGGAACGAAATCTAGCTCGAATTCTCCATTTTAACCCATCCCATAAATGTTCGATCGGATTGAGGTCGGGACTGCATGTTGGCCACTCCATAACTCGAAAACCAAATTCTGTAATGTAATGTTGTATGAACCTTGCGGTGTGCGGTCTAGCATTGTCATGCATAAAAATGAATTCTTCTCCAATGTAGTCGACATATGGTACCACGTGATCTGATAAAATATCCTCGCTGTACCTAGAAATTGTTAAATCTCCTGTCCCTTGACCACGGCCGCCCCTACCGATGAAAACAGGGTCGCTTCGTGCGTCCATAGAAATTACACCCCATATCATGCAGGAACCACCCCATAAGGATTGCAGCATTCTGCAAATCGCTCTCCTTGTCTTCGGTACCTTTTTTTGCGTCGATTGCTGTTCTCATCTGAGAACAGAACAGAACCCCAATTTCTAATTCAGATGATCCCGTGCAAAGCGTAGGCGTGCTTGTCGATGAGCTGGAGTAAGTTTTGGTTAGATGCAAATGCAGTTGTTTTTGGGGTCAGGTTATTTTCCTTCAGTCTTCTTCTCATTGTCCACTGACTAGTAGCCACTCTTCGAACTTCATGGAGCTGTTGTTGCACTTGAACCGCATTAAGGTGACGATTTCTTATTATTTGACACGTTGCAATTGGCCTTCTGCCTGTTGCAGGGCGCCTAGCAAAGGATGCAGTTGTCGAGCAACAGCTCGCTGGCTAAGTTCACTTTTGATTAAAACGATAATTTAAGCGGCTTTTTGCGATGTAGTATGTATCAAGCTAACACAATTAAACGCTATCCAAATTGTTAAAAACGAATAATGTAAAAATTCCAGTTCAAAGGGTGATTAATTTTAGTCTATGACAAATTTGTTACTATCATTATAACTACTGCATGAACACGTTTCATTTGTTTGACCGTAACTACACGTATAAAAGATAAGCACTCTTGACAAATTTTAAGTTCATACTAAAGCATATTAAAATGTCTTCCAAATAGCATGAATATTTTTTGGGTCAGATGAATAGTTTCTAGGAAAAAAATGTACTAGAGTCAAAAATTTAAACTGGGTCGATTTCTATGCACGCAACTTTATATTAAGTACTAGTACCATCATCGTATGCGAAAAATATGATTAAAGTCGAATATAATATTAATAATTATAAAAGCCATGAAATAAAACCTATTATGATCGGTGTGATTGCAATTCACAAATCGTCGATCACAAATAAGTCGAAAGGCATACGCGTATTCAAAATCGAACGTCTTGCGCTGGGTACTGGCGAAACCGGTCTCCCGATTTTTAAAACTGCAAGTTCCTAATGGTATATCCAGTTTCGACGAGAAAAAATGCCAATGTCCCTGTTTAAGTGAATACGTCATTAACGTCGTTTACCTAGCACGCATTAAAAGACCAGCCGGGACCGCCGAAAGGGTACTGCTACTGGTCGTCGTTCATCTACACCTATTTCACGCAAGAACCCACGCGGAATAGGAAACTTCGCCATTTCCCAGGTTTTAGTAAGCTGTAGCGGCAGTCGAATTCATTTTAAAATAGTTAATGTTCTATTAAAAATATTTTCAAAATAATCCGTAAAAGTGCGTAGAATGAGCTCGAAGAAGAGATCAGTGAAAACCAGCTTGAATTCAGAAATGCAATAGAAACACGTCTTAAATGTTCTAATGCAGAGGTGTCTAAATGTTAACCAAGATCTTTTCCTCTGTTTTTTGGTTTACAACAAAACCTTCAATCAGGACGAGAGACTCATGGAAATTCTAAGTGAGAAGCATATAGGCTCCAACTACATGCGAATAATTAGCAATTAACCTTATAATCAGAGAGCGTGAATTAAGATTCAGAATAAGTCAAGCTACAGCTGCATTTACAAAAATGCTCAAGAGATATAAACATCAGAGTTAAAACCAGATAGGCCAGGGACAAATAAGAAAGATTACTTAGGGTTTATGAAGAAGTGCAGGAAAACGACGCACTTCATTGCTGAAGAATTTAAGAGAGAGTGGTATTACTGCGTAAATCAATAGAATTATTTCGATGATAGTCAACCTTCTAACCAAAAAGTTACTTAGTGTTTCTTTGTCAGTGTACTGCGAAATTTGGAGCGTAGCAAAATCAGAAAGAAGTTTTCAAGTACAAATGGAGTGATGACCTCGTTTCGCAAGTATGATTGGTGGAAAACCCTCCAAGTACGTTCTTTATTCCTGGGTAGCAGAAAACAGTACTTAGTGTCAACTTTCTTAAAAATGTCAAGCAATACCAGTTCATACTAAAGTAATTCAGACTGAACCAAAAATGAACATAGAAAGTGTTTCTACATCAAATTTTCACTGCAACGCAAAATGAACGTTAAGGTTTGATAGTTTAGAAATATAGACCAAGATAAGTCGAAGATAAGAAAAATAGATGTCCAGTTTAGGAGGATATTCATAAAGAAAATCTTGATTTTCAGGCTTTACGACTGAAAAACTGAACATGAAGTATATTTAAATTTTAATGCAATTTAAATCATCGAGTCTTTCGGAAAAAATGCTGACTTATTTGAAATGTTAACAATTTGCGGCAGGACATGAATTTCACAAATAGATTATACTAAAATTATTTAATTGCTTGTTTTCAGCCTAGGGGCAGAGAGGCATGTACGCAATAAAGATCACATTTTGACCCACCCAGTTTATTGCAAAGTGTTATATTTACTTCGAATGCTCTGTTTCTTAATGCGAGAGAGTTTAAATCATTATTGAACTGTAG